CGGCTCACCTGGCTCTACCAGTAAGGTCCAGGGCATGCACCACTCTGACCACTTGAGCCACGGCCAAGATCGCGAGGCCACACGTGTCTTATCATCTACCTCTGATCATCTCCACCCGTTTCAGCCTCGGACTCTTGTCGTGGACGACGCTGGACCATGGGAGCCGTGAACTGGCCTCAGGACACCGCACAACACACACGGCCGGCCTGCCTCCATGCTACACCTCGCACCCAGGTGATACCATGATGTACAATCATAGTGCCGGACCCGCTAGTCACACACGTTAAAATACACACACGCAGCTCATTGGTTCGCACAAGCGTCCTCTTGGTAGTGTTCAGCGTATTTAGTCATTGCTGTCTTGGATGACCCCGCACGTTGAACTCAGGTGCTTTTATGTGAGGTAAGTAACTCGTGATCCGGACACATGGGCGTACCACAGCCTCAACATATATGCAAAACGTGAGAAGAGTTGTTAGCTCTCTCGGTACGATAGTAATCACGTGCCTATATATGCGACATCTTTCTCTTGTTTCTGAATAGCGAGTTATGTGTCTGTATTATCCAGTGTCCGAAGTTACCCCCATTTACCTTACACATCATTCTTACACAAAATAGGGATGTTTCTTTAACTATTATGTGACCACAAACCTGTCTGGTGAAACATGTATGACCTAGTGCACTCTTGACCACTCTCCATCTGACTGTCGGTGAACCGTGGAGACCCTAGTGGGGGGCATCAATTGGAAATAACAACCACTGTGTAGTCGTCGTGCACACACAAAACACGGACCATCCAGCAGACCTCTACTCGCCTTATATATCCGCCCACCGCCTCCTGTAAACTTTATGAGCCTACAAGAAGTTCTGCAGACGCAGTTTAGAAGCAGAACCTGCATAGCGACGAAATGTTCGCCTCGCTTCCGACTGGACCGGAGGTCAGCTGTGCACGTGTAATTTCCCGGGCAGCAGATCCGTATCAGATTGACCTTTTTGAGCCGAAGTCTGAAGGAAAACCGTAGCTAATATATTACTGGATGTCGAACTTCTGTCTATAAGCTGCAGTTCTGTGTTTCTTCGTCACCTGTACGTAAGGCCAATGTCCGGGGCTCTGATCTGAAAGAAGCAGTTGGAGTGAACCGTAAAGGATGCCCACAGTTGCTGAAGCGTTGCGGCTTGGCACTCTGAACACTATCCACGCCCTGCGTTGGGCCAGACACGCGACGGTGGCCGTGTGTGTGTGGCTATGGAGCAGCCTCCTCTATCTGGCCAAACACAAGGGCTCAGAGTTGAAACTCATTCAGAAAGACGTCCAGAGACTGGAGAAACTGCCCCTACATCTGGCACTAGTTGTGAACGAGAGACCGGTGTCGTATAGCGACCTGGCAAAGATTGTGAACTGGTGTTTCTGTGTGGGGATCCACTACTGTTACTCTCTATGATCCTAGAGGTTAGCTACATGCAGCTTCAGTTCACTCACCCTCCCAGCTAATAAGCAGCACATGTTCAAGATCCCAGGAAAATACTTATTCCCTGGGTGGGACTCTAACCCACAGAGCAGGCAGAGCGCTTTTTCCGTTGAGCATGTTGCTTTGCAACCTCCATACTAAAGATGTTAGCTACATGTTCTGTACACTCCCCTGCTGTTATAGCCCCCACATCCAAGGCATGGTGGAAACAGCGTGGGTACGAAAACAGACTGTGAAAATCTAAACCACGCACTGTAAGGGAAACGATGTGTATTATGGGCCACCAACAGATGTGTAGTGTAGGAACTGGACCTGTTTGTCCACTGCATGAAAAATAACACTTTTTGTGTATCTTTCGATGCAATTGTCCAGGATAATGGGGAAACTGCAAGATTGTCATTAGGTGAAATTGAAAAACAGAAAACAACCTCATTTTAGTTGTAGAAAAACTGGGACGCAAGGCGATGTGATTCTAGAAGCAAAGCTTTTCCTGTTATCAACACAAACCACTTGGTGTTCCACCAGGAGTGTGCACAACAGGAAGCGGTTGTCAGTGTCTTGGAATTGAAAGGCTTAACATTGACGGCCTACATTATGACTTATGCTATAGGCTGTATGACATACGTGTTCATAATGAAACGCAGGTAGGCTAAAGAGTGATCTGGAGAGTCTACGGAGTGCAGTGGAGCAGCAGCATAAGATGGTGTTCTCTGAATGTGAACCGTTTGTTCTAATGAGTAGTGATAACTACCAGGAGTCTCCCCCTAGTAATGGTCAGTGTTTCAAACTGTACAAGTATATAATATGTACAGTAGTTAGCTATGGAGTTAGGTTTACTGTATAATAAGTGGGAGAAAGCAATTCACTATTAATGTTTGAGGCCAACTGCAAATTTTCTCATGTGGACCAATTCCATCTGCAAACATTAAATTTTAGCAACTTGTTTTTCTTATGTACAATTACAAGGGGTGCCCATTGTGCAGGACTGATCACATGAGATGATTTTCACGTGATCAGTTTCGCTGAATCCACAGCTCATCAGCTGCACTGGGGCTCCAGGGGTGAGGGGGGAGTGGGAGGAAGGCCTAAAGACCCTCCTAGCAACTGTGTAATTTCCATTTCTTTCTTTGCCCAAGAAACTGCCTCGTTCCCAGGCCTTTCCCGCTCTGTCCCGCATGCACAGCAAACTTACACACGTACGCAGGGGGTGGCACGACGCTATGCAAGCAATGTGAAATTGGGTTCAGCACCTATGTATTCCGATTATCGATATTGGCGTCATGCATGAGAGACCAAGCCGGCGCGGCGGAGAGGGCGACAGCCGAATGCTGGTTCACGGTTGAGGGTAAACAACTCTTGCACACACAAAATGAAGAGATTGGTTCACTCCTGAATAACTGTCAGTAAAACCACATCATTCAGCGATAACAAATTTTCGACTCACTATATATTTAAAAAAATGTGTTGTAGCCACTCTCATCCAATTTGAGGGATTCATGAGGTCTGACGAACACAGACCCCACATCCATTTCCTGATCGCAACCGACAGCAACGAACTGTTACATTAAAAAATGCACACACGTGGACCAGTCAAAAGGTCACGCTCTCTGCTGGCCAGTACTTGCTTCCAAAATGTGCAGTGCAAAATTTTTAGGTAATACAGAATTTGGTATATAGTACATGTGTGTTAGCTTAGACCAAAACCTCTTTCGTGTTCTAATGTTTGACTGCAGGTGTCCACAGAGTGTTGGTACTGGGTCCCAGCGATGGGAGAGAGGCACTGACTGGAGTGGCCAGGCGGCTCTCCGAACAGGTCCAGCAGCACCGTCTGGCCGCCACAGACGTGGACATCAATCTCCTCAACGACAGACTTATAGGTATATACCATCACACTCTTTCTGTTGTACATACATACATCATAGGATGAACCTGCAAGCACTTTGCAGCACAGTACTGGGAATAGTGTTATAAAGAAGCTTGCACATGCACACACGCTATTTTGCAATTCAGATGACTGTTTTTAGCAACCGTGTAAAGATACAACCACCGGCCATTCTACATCTACCATCAGAGTATTATACCCTTCACCGAATATATATCTTCGACCTCTCCCTGGTCATATATACAGGGACCATGGAGGTTTTCCAGAGCCCAGTCTGGCAGTAGTAGCTGGATCTCCTCCCAGTCTACTGGGATACCTACCTTGGCACACTAGACTCACCGAGGTTCTGTAAGTCATACACCACTTCATAACTGGAACAAGTGACAGAAGTACTTGAATAATGTGCAATTACGTTGTAAATGCAGTGCGCAATTACGTCAGCACCATTAGCACATACATTGATGCAGCACACACAATGTCATGGTGCTCATATTTGTGCACAGTATAATCTTATAAGCACAAAATGTGTGCTTATATATAGCTATCAGTATTATAATGCTATGTTGGAAGGAGTCCATGCTAGCATTAGTATTTTGAGGAAGTTAAGTAACACATAATTCTCACATTGTAACGGCAGTTGACTGCATTGTGCCTCTCTTACCTTCATGTGACTTCTCCACACCTGTCTCTCTCCACAACTGACTATCTCTTACCTTCATGTGACTTCTCCACACCTGTCTCTCTCTCACAACTATCTCTTACCTTCACGTGACTTCTCCACACCTGTCTCTCTCCACAACTGACTATCTCTTACCTTCACTTGACTTCTCCACACCTGTCTCTCTCCACACCTATCTCTTACCTTCACGTGACTTCTCCACACCTGTCTCTCTTTCTCCACAGATTTATTAGCTCCCACCACAAGATTACTTACCAGCAGTTCCACTCGCTGCTCCAACGCTACGCCGGCACGACACAGAGGTTTGGGAAATGACAACCGTGTGCGGAGACTCTCTCATTAGGGACAACTGAACATTCAATCTAGTGCACAATTCAGCCTATTTTTTGTACATGTACACCTGCTGTACAGAAAACACTGCACCAATGAGTACAGACATGATTCAAAATCATAGGTATATTTATTACACTTGATGAGTATGTTTTACTGTACGCATGAATTCGCTCCGATACATTCTGATGTGACGCTCGCGCCTAGACAGGCGAAAAACATTGGAGTATTGTACATCCTTGGTGAGCCCACGTGAGTACGCTGTTTAACCTTCGGTCACTACGTAGATCCTCCCTCTCTAACTCTTTATAGAAAAATGCACACGAAGCAAAAAAAACGGCACGTGCGTACATTCTCTGGAAGTCTGCACAGTGCCACACAGGTGACATAAAGGTTGCGTAATAGGCATAGGTGGTGGTATACGCCTATACAATTCAGATAATCCAAGTACTGGCCTTTTCTTTGGAAAAACATATAGTCCGTAGTAGTAGTTACGTACATAATATCTGATTCATGTTTTACTGTGAAAAGTGGGTCAATAATTGCTGCTCCCGCTGTCTCAATATCGACTCGATTGAGAGGATTTCCTGCGGTGTACCACGCGATAGGGGACGTCGTCGTCCCTACCCACCCCACGTGGTGGAGGCGAGGGACTTCTCTTCTTGAACGACGGCTCCGGACTCCCTATAGGGGGACACCCCGGTCGAAACGTGGACACAAACCCTCTCTTTGTCGTCCGAATGGATCCCTTCCCCGTGGCCACACCCCCCACACGAGGAATGGGCACTATCTCCACGATCCTCTTCGGCAGACCACCTGGCGGGCTCCTGGATCTACGTCGGTTTCCTCCTATCATTCCTGAGGGAGGAGGGCCGGGAGAGGGCGACCGTTCTCCCCGGGACCTCACCGTCATTATTTTGGTGATGATAGTACTGGTGGTAGGAGGGTTATTACTACTGCTGGTGAGTGCGGACGACGGTGTGGTCGTGCTGACTCCACCACTACTGCGACGAGATTTACTGGACTTGGAGGTGGAGGGAGAGTGCTTCGACTCTCGGCTATGGCGTTCCTTTCCTCGCTCCTTCCTCCTCTCCTTGTCCTTCTCGTGGTCCTTACCGCGTGACGACGAAGAAGACGGGTCTTTCTTTCGCGAAGACGCCGAGCTAACATCGTGGTCTTTGTCCGAGGACTTTTTGCGGTCTCTCTTGTGCTCTTTGTCTCTCCCGCTGCCTGACTCGTGGCCAGAGTCAGTGATATCTTTGACTTTCTCTTTCCTCTTCTTCTCCTTCTTGTGTTCCCTCTCTTCTTTCTCCTTGGAGCCTGTGCCAACAACACAGTGTGACTAAATCGATGTGCACATGCATAGACAAATACTACGTGGACTGATGACTTTGTTCGAAAAAGGTCTGGTTCGTTTTACAACTGAGCTGGGATCACAATGACGCCCACCTACCCCATTCTATGTATGTATGTATGTATGTATGTATGTATGTACTAATACGATTCCACTTCATGCAGAGGTGTATAATTATAAAGCGTTTGACTTCGATGTATACATTTTTAGCAGGCCACATAAAATTATTGTGTCCCCTCCCATAAATATGATGCAAAAATTCCGCATGCAACCCTGACAGCTGCTCCTAGTCATCCCTGAAGTGGTGGGGTGTACGTTACACAATGGGACAGCAATCACAACTTATTCAGACATGCATACACTCCATGCAGACTCCACTCCACAGGCTTACTACTGCCGCTGGTGGTCCTCTGCCTCTGCTGCATGGAGCGGGGTACCGGAATGAACCCTTCTCCACCTCCTCCTCCACTGAAGGCGGCCGCAATCTCCTCCGGTTTGGGGATCTTGGGTACGAGAGGCTTCGACTTGGAGGACCTGCTGGACTTGGCCTCGTCGTCTCCTCTGTGGGACTTGCCGTCTGGGGAGCTCCCCGACTCGGACTCACTGTCAGAGCTGTACACTTCAAGACCTGTAGGGTTTGGAACGGGAGATTCAGCTGTAAAGTTTCGCTACACAACATGCTACTGTTCTTCTTCGTTTACCCATGGCTAATGCACAGGTAGCCTGGGGAGATTTTTGGTGTGTTGGTGTGGGCTGTGGACCTACACTGTGCAACACTTTCACTTTGTGTGTGTGTGTGCACGAGCGTGTGTGACTGAGTGAGCGCATGTGTGTGTGTGTGGTGGGGGATGTGGGCCCATCTGAGGAGCCACAGTCTTGCCTAGCAGCGGCCTGTTCTCTTGGGGAGGAGGAGCATTGGCCACTCCCTTCATCTGGATCACCAGCTTCGGCTCTGGAATAGCGAAATACAAAACACTGTTACACCACGTCACCCTGCCAGGAAGAAACGTGTGCTAACTCTTCGACATAAGTACCTCTCTACAAGGGTCTCCCTACACAGGGTATATAACTTCGTTTCTTTCGTTTTGTTCACCCGTACAAACGGACACCACCCGCACAATAGCATTTAGTTTGCGAATTTGTAAACAGTATCTTACTCTTGGCCTCCTCGATGCACTCAGAGACTACATCCTCTATCTCCTGATTGGTGACCTCCAGGAGAACCTCGGTCAACATCTGTCGTATCTTCATCACCTGACGGAGAGTGGGACAACACCACTTCTCTCAACTCCGTCACACACAACACACACACGGCGAGTGAACCCCCATAATAATTGATGAAGTGGGGGAACTTACAGTGCAGGAACTTACCTCTGTCACAGTAACTAGGGCCAATGTCAATTTACGACGCACACAAGTCGAACGCATAAGCTTGGCTCACCAAAAGATATCAACCAGCAATTATGAAGGAGCTTTAACAGGAGGAGAGGGGGCTCAAGTTACAGTGTGTACTTACAACGACGACACTTAAAACGGACAAGGAAGACTTGGTAATTGTGTCTAAGGGTGTCAGATAAAACACTCCATGACACCTGTGATGAACCCTGAGGGCCTAGTCAGCTACATTGTATATCCTACATAGGACGTGTATATATACCAAACAATTCTCTGCCGCCACGTCAGTGATGCGATCTGTTCTTGCTGTCGTTTTCCATAGCTCGCGATCGACATAGAGTAGAAACCTGTCTTCACGTGCAGTTCTTGAATATGCACAAAAACCGCTCGCTTCAACGATCGGTATCTCGACAATCACGTGGTGTGAAATAAAACACAGATACGTACGCGCTCAGCTTGAAATAACGGTTTGAAAGTCACGAGTCAGCTCAACGTCCAGCGACTAGAAAGAGCAAAGCAGCAGTGTATCCTTTGGGGCACGTGCAATGCCATTCCAAACTTGTTGATATACAATATGTATATATATAGGCATGACACATACACACACACACACACACAAGTCACAGCACTGGTACACTGATGAGCACAAGTGTACACTACAGTACATGCAGAAAGAGAGCCCAGTGTTGGCTGTAATGGAAGACAAAGAACCTACATAATATGTAGGCGAATGGGTCGCAATGTGAAGTGAACACGGAGTAACATCTCCACTAAGGGGAGGGGGCCACAGTCATGGTACACGTATACACACATAATACGTATATACTAGCGTGGACATTTTGGTAAGTGGGAGCATTAAGCTGGCATTAAAAGACAGAGTACATGTGTATATATATACCACTATGGCAGTGGTGTAGAGAGGTGGGGTATACTGTTACCGTATATGTGTACCAGGTGAAGGTGCTTGTCCTCGTCGCTTTCCGGCGGAGGTTCGTAGTGTCTCTTCTTCTGCGGAGGAGGGCTCTCGTCTCCACTCTTTAGAGACGAGATATAACATTATTACACATGAAGTAAGTTATATTATATATACTAGGGACTTTGTTTTTTTACAAAAAGTATTCTAAATAATACCCGACATTGATTGTAGAACTTACTCTACTAGATGAGTGTGAACGATAGATGCGGGTCTTTACTTTCATCCCGTCTTCTTCTTCTTCTTCCTCCTCCATCCTCCACCTCCCCTCTCCCTCCCCCACCCCCTCCCTCGCCCCCTCCTCTGCCTCTCTCTCCAGCTCCTCGGCCCAAGATTTCGGAGCCCCTCCCTCTCCCTCGAGCACTCCCTCCCTGGCCTCCTTCTCCATCTGTTTGGCCTTCTTCCTCTCCAGTTTCTCAAGCTCTTCTCGCAGCCACAGTGGCAGAGTCCGCCTCTTTGCCTCTCCTGCAGTAGACATTGGAGCCTCAATTACTGGGGACTAGAGAATTTGTTCACAGTAAGCAGAACATGTTGGGTGTATATATGTACAGTGTATGTGTAGACAGTGTTCAAAGGGGCTAGGTTCCAAGGCTGAAGGGTTTGTTTCTAGTCTGTGTTCAAATACACATTCACAACGCACGCCAAACCCACATGTACAGGCCAATGACACATGGCTGAAACAGAAAGATATGCACGTACTTAAGTACATTACATCCATGTTACTCACACAACATGTGTACAATACGCATGTGTGTGTCATCAACACTAATGAGGTAAAATCGGCAAACGAAACTATTTTCCACGCATACTCGATCACTCACCTCCCTGGTAGGCAGCAAAGATGGCGGCAGGGTCTAGTCCCTCCCAGCATACCCTCCGACAGCAGGCGAGCCGTACCCCATATACGGAACTCCCTCCCCATACATTCCGGCATACTCTGAGCCAGGTCCCCCAAACGAGGGGTAATTGAGGGGTCTGGGGGGAATTTCCCGAGGTGGGTACACAGGGGTCCCCCCCGGAGTCCCGTGGCCGTAGTCGACTGATTTTATCCCAGAACCTCCGTGACTGTAGTCAATGCTCTCCATTTGACTTAGAATACCACCGCCTCCTTTGGGCTCGGGAGGGAACGTTGGACGGTTGTGGTAGGGGTCCGTAGTACGTGGAGGGGGCAGCCCCCCGTAATCATCAGGGCGGGGTCTAGCGCCACGTGGAATGGGGGTTTCGGGATCTGGGTACGGGGCGCCGCGATCGTAAGGGTAAACACGAGGGGGGCCACGTGTGGGAGGGGGAGAGAGGGGCCTCTGCCGCTCGTCGTCTTCCCGTGCCCAACGACCTCCCCCGGGGTAACCGGGGTAGTCTCGGGGTGCGGAGCGTGGGTACCCCAAGTCTGAGTCGGGAGGGGGGCGTGGTGGGTAGCGTCGCGGAGGATAGTGATAATCATCCTCGGCACGAGGGGGGTAACCCCCATAACTACCTCGCCCCTCCCTGCCATCGCCACGAGGATCATCGTAATCAAACTTACTATAACCTAAGCTCCCTGGAGCTACTGGCTCATCATCGTCTGGCGGGGGGCCCCTGCTATCTTTCCTGTAATCACTGTCCTCGTAAGAACTGTAGGTCTGGGAGGGAATGTTGTACCCCTCAAACTCTCTCGCTGGAGTAGGAGAATCTTCCGCCTCCTTTCGACCTGGCTTTGGAGTTAATTCCTACAATGTACATTGGGGGGGGGATAACAACAAAGCTATGTGAAGACCATAATTATACCACAGTAAACCTACACTGGTATTCCACAATGTGTATAGGCTTGTGAACTTGCAAAGCGACAGCACACATAAAAAAAGGCGGAAAAGGTTTTGTTTGGCACATGAGTTTGGTCCAAGAACAAAACTAGTTGCATGCGTAGAATAAATACAAGGCCCAATTTTCCATCCTTGTTAAAATGCTTCGCTGTGCTAGACACAAAAACACATTACATAGGCAACATCAGTAGTACCTTCTCTCCATCGCTATCACTCTCATTGGCTAGCAAAGCAGCGACCTTCCTCTTGGTGTCCTCCGACAGTTCCTTCTCCCTCATGGCTGCCTTCTCCTTCTCGCTCACCCCTCCTCCCTCCTTTGGCATCGTTTGCAGCAGCTTGAGGCTTGAGGTGAGGCCCTGCAGCGTCTGTAGCTGGGAGACTATCTTCCCCAGACTCTCAACCATCTGCAAGTTCTCCTTCGGGGGTTGCCCCTGTGATTCAGTCGGTTGATTGCCAGGTTGTTTTTCTTGTGCTGCGGATTCCGACATGGTTTGGCTCTCGGTCTCTGTATCCAGTTCTCCGAGACCAGGGATGCTGCTTGGGTCGCTGCTCCAGCTGGGGATTGTCGGCCCATCCTCACCCTCCTGTCCGGGAAACCCCTGCTCTGATTGGTAATCATCTGAAGGCCCCCACCCCTCTCCTCCCCTTCCCACCCTCCCCAGCTCGGCCTGTCTCTCCATCAGCTCTCGCTCCATTCTCTCCTTCTGCTCCAGAATCCTCTCCATCTCTCTCCTCTTGTTCTCAATCTCCTGAGCCAACTGCATGTCCAGCTGCCGCTTCTTTTCCAACTCCTCCGCCTCTCTCTTGGCTATGGCCTCCTCTTCAAGTCTCTTCCGCTGAAGTTCCTCGAGCTCCTTGGCTCGCTTCGCCGCTTCCTCTTCCTCCCACTTCCGTTTCTCCGCCCTCTCTCTCTCCTCCTTCTGCCTTCGCACCATCTCCAGGTTTTTCTCAATTTCCATCTTTCGCTGCCTCTCGACTTCTTGCATCCTCTGGAGCGTCCGTTTCAACTCTCTCTCTTTCTCCAACTCCTTCTGCCTGGCCGCCTCCAACTGCTCCACGTAGTTTGACTGACGTGAGGGTTGGTCTCTCTCAGTGTCTGAACCCTCCTGGGCAAGATTTCCGTCGAAATTGGGTGCTCTATCGAAATGTTCCGCAGTTGGCCCGCCGCGGTGACCGCCGGAAATCGTACGCTCGCCGTGAGGTGACCTACCCCCTCCTCCGCCTTCGCTGTGAGGGTGGCGGAAGGGAGGCGAGCCACGTGGGGAACCTCGCTGGGAAAATATGGGCCTCGCAAACCCGCCGCGCCCTCTCGGGGAGTGAAATCTCTCCCCCCTTACTCGCGGACTAAAGTTGCCGCTACCTCGGGGGCCAAAACCGCGCGGCCCCTGTGGATGAGGGATTCGCACACCCGAGGGTTGCATATAATTACCAGCGTCTTCGCCAGTACCGTGTGGAGAGCCGCGAAACGAGGGAAGATTAGAGGGTGCCCCCCCGGGTTCGACCCCTTGGTGCACACGAGGGGAGTGGCTCTGCTGTGTTTCAAAGAGAGGTTTTGGCAAGAGGGCAGTCTCGACCTGCGCCTGTTGAACTTGCTGTTGGACCTGCTGTTGCTGCTGTGACCATAGGTCCTGTTGAGCATACTCTGCCTGTTGCTGACCAGGAAACTGTTGCTGGCTGTAGATTTGCTCCATCTGGTGCTGTTGCAGCATCTGCTGTTGCTGTTGTTGTTGTAGCTGTTGGTCCGTGACGGTCTGCTGGTGGTAGTAGTGGTCTTGGATCTGCCGCTGCTGGGCCCACTGAGCTGCCTTGGCTGCCCACTCCACTGGATCTGTGGACAACACGCAGTCACAGACGTTAATAGTAGTACCGTACAACAAGGTGGAAATTGATACAGCATGAACCTTTACCATTAGGCCTCACGTTCAAGGTGTGGGTAAAACATTACACGTGGCACTCCGATAATAGATAGAAAATGATTAGCAACAAGAAATTGGTGCCATCAAAGAAATCCACAGAGTATATATAGCTTGACTTCCCCGGGTCTTTGAGCGCACGCCGCAGACGTTATGTACAATTCAGCTAAACCCCAGTGTTTGGAAAGCTGCCCCCTTCCCCCCCTGCACCCACAACACAATGAGGACAATTCATTGCTTTGCAAAACATGCCATTCTTCAGCATTCCATCACATTAACACTGGTAACGACTATGTGCAGCATCATAATACACATGAGCACTTGTAAAACAACTATAATTATACACAAAGTAATGTACTGAATAAAGGTAAGGGAGGGGAGGGAGGAGGAGAGCAAACGTGCCAGTGGATTGAGGAGTTGGGTTCTGAGGAGTCATCCCAGGCCACTGCTGCTGCTGCTGCTGCTGCTGCTGCAAGCCAAAACCTCCAAACTGCTGACCCCACATCTCTACTAGGCTGTGTACGGCACACAACACGTAAAGGCGTTACAAACATATGCGAAAACATAACATGTGCTACAGACATCAACAGTGATCAGCAGGACCTGATTAACTGGATCTAAACAAACAATATATCTGCACTGACACTTACACAGTCTTTACAGCACGTCACTAAGAACACAAATGGAGAGAACAACCTGGTGCGCTTTATTTAGAACACCTCCGCTGCAGAAGCTTTACAAACCGTCAACGTGGCCAAACAACTTTCCGTTCCACCAGTAAAACAAGGAATACAACCACGCGAACTCATATTTACGTAAAATGCAGCGACACGCGGCCGAAGAGCACGCAGCGCAAAATTCCGCCGGTTCCGTCGGGGAAGCGACCGTAAAACAGCATAACTCACCTTATTTATTGAACACTGAACTTCCTTACAACAACCAAAGCTTTCCCTATTTCCCGAACATCTAAAAAACACTGTTACAGCGCTCACCGACCCGTGCCCGAGAACCGGCCGGTTTTGTTGGTGAGAAACGCTTCCGCGCATGCGCAGTAAATATTTGTGCGCATGCGTATTGAAGGACGCTAAAGGACGCGGCACTATTTTTCGGTTCTACGCGAAGTTCGCAGACAGACGAGAAAGTGCTTGTGCATTTTACTGCATTTTGCTGCAAAATGATGCTTTTCGAAGCCCTCAAGAAACTGCTGAGAGACATTCTTGGTCTTCTCAACAGTGATGACACACTTCATTCACTGATGAGGGTTTTCTTCCGAGGGACGCCAGTTGCGCGTCTGACGGACGCCTCCGCAGAGGGCTCGTCCGTTGATCCCGATCCCCTCCTTTCCTCTCCAGCACTCAAAAGCGGTGAACTGGTGACTGGAGTGCAGTCTTCCTTCGACTCATCGACAAGTTCTCTGAAAAAGGACGAAGTTGATCAACATGGAAACGCAGACGCCGTCAGCATCGCCATTCAGAGCAATCTCAAGGAGGCTTTCCGCGTGTCGAAGGCGACTCTGTGCACCGCAAAGCTGTCCCAAGACGGCTACTCTACCGCCAGCTTCAATACCACGAAAGCTGTAGAGTTCCAGCAAGAAAATCCCTCGGAGCCAGTCTCCGAGCAAGCGGATGAAATCCCCGAGAAAAGCAACAGCCTTATCATCCCCAAAAAGGAGGATTCTCCTCCAACAGAGTGTCCGAGGACCGTCAGCGATGATGACGAGATGTGTCCTCTGTACCGCCTCTGTCCTCAACTTGCTCCAGGAGCAAAGAATAAAATGTACCCCTCTTCTCCCCTTCAGACTCGCGTGGAGGGAAAGGTTCTTTTCGACTCACCTCTGTTAAGCGAAGAAGACTTTGAACAGAGAGTAGAAAAGGAGAAGGTGTGCCTCGAATTTGTACACCTGGAGGGGAAAACGGTTGAAGGTGTCATCCGAGTCGCAAACACTGGCTACGAGAAGGAGGTGATGGTGCTGTACACCATAGAGAAACCCGACTGGAAAGTCGGTTCCAGCTGCAAGGCAAAGTGGGAGGAAAGTGTGTGCGACGGTACTATGGACCGATTCTTCTTCTGCTTCGACGGACTGGAGACCATCGGCATGGTCTCCTTTAGAATCTCCTACAACGGGACTTTCACAGACGACAACAATGGACAAAACTACACTGTCGCCTATGCAATGCCATCTTCCACCACATCCGAAAGTTCCCCGATAACAGACAACGTTGATCAATGTTGTCAATATGGAGATTCGGACGCCGTCAGCATCGCCATTCAGAGCAGTCTCAAGGAGGCTTTCCGCGTGTGGAAGGAAACTGAGTTCACTAAAAAGCCCTCCAAAACCTGCTGCTCAACTAAAACCTTCAAGACCACGAAAGCTGTAGGATTCAAGCGAGAAAATGTCTCAATCCCGGTCCCTAAGCAAGCAAAGAAAACCGTATCACCTCGAAAAAGGAAAACTCTCCTCCGCCAGAGTGCCTGAGTAGCTACCGCCAGTGACCTTTAGCATCACCCTCAACAAGACACTATTGCCTATGCATAAGTATGGCACTGGACTCTATTCCGAGTTATGTATAATAGTTACCCATGAACCTGTGGTTATCTGCCCGCGCATGCGCTTATCTCGTGCAACTGCAATCAAGAAGGGGCACCAAAATAGACGTGAGATAGGGAGAATAGCAGCCATATAGAGTACAGTACTATTCCATAATCCAACTGTATATAATCTGAGGAGATACATGCAAGTTAGGCATCATAGCCAAAGTTTTTTTTAAACTCATGAGCCTAAACCAATTGAGGTGGGAAGAGGGAAGGTGGTGTTCGAAATTCATGGATGTTGGAGAAAGCACTCAGACCATAGTCAAAGTGTATTCATACTCAAACCTTAGTCAAAGTGTAAAAGATCTAGTGCTTGGGGTTTGAAGGGAAGGTGGTGTTTGAAGCCTTGCTATGAATACACTGAGCTGAACTTAGCAAACCCTCTTTTCCGATCGTCAAGAAAACTACTTTACAGCACACCCGCAAGGGTGTGAACACGCTTCCGCGCATGCGCACGTTTAAATGTTTTTTGCGCATGCGTAAGAAGGACGCTAAACGACGCGGCGCTATTTTTCGGTTCTACGCGAAGCTCGCAGACAGACGAGAAAGTACTTGTGCATTTTACTGCATTTTGCTGCATAATGATGCTTTTCGAAGCCCTCAAGAAACTGCTAAGAGACATTCTTGGTCTTCTCAACAGTGATGACACACTTCATTCACTGATGAGGGTTTTCTTCCGAGGGACGCCAGTTGCGCGTCTGACGGACGCCTCCGCAGAGGGCTCGTCCGTTGATCCCCATCCCCTCCTTTCCTCCCCAGCACTCGAAAGCGGTGAACTGGTGACTGGAGTGCAGTCTTCCTTCGACTCATCGACAAGTTCTCTGAAAACGGACGAAGTTGATCAACATGGAAACGCAGACGCCGTCAGCATCGCCATTCAGAGCAATCTCAAGGAGGCTTTCCGCGTGTCGAAGGCGACTCTGTGCACCGCAAAGCTGTCCCAAGACGGCTACTCTACCGACAGCTTCAATACCACGAAAGCTGTAGAGTTCCAGCAAGATAATGCCTCGGAGCCAGTCTCCGAGCAAGCGGATGAAATCCCCGAGAAAAGCAACAGCCTTATCATCCCCAAAAAGGAGGATTCTCCTCCAACAGAGTGTCCAAGGACCGCCAGTGATGATGATGACATGTGTCCTCTGTACCGCCTCTGTCCTCAACTTGCTCCAGGAGCAAAGAACAAACTGCACCCCTCTTCTCCCCTTCACACTCGCGTGGAGGGAAAGGTTCTCTTCGACTCACCTCTGTTCAGTGAAGACGACTTTGAGCTGAGAGTGGAAAAGGAGAAGGTGTGCCTCGAGTTTGTATACCTGGAGGGGAAAATGGTTGAAGGGTTCATCCGAGTCGCAAACACTGGCTACGAGAAGGAGGTGATGGTGCTGTACACCTTAGAGAAACCCGACTGGAAAGTCGGTTCCAGCTGCAAGGCAAAGTGGGAGGAAAGTGTGTGCGACGATACTATGGACCGATTCTTCTTCTGCTTCGACGGACTGGAGACCGTTGGCAATGTCTCCTTTCGAATCTCCTACAACGGGACTTTCACAGACGACAACAGTGGCCAAAACTACACTATCGCCTATGCATTGCCATCTTCCGGCACATCCGAAAGTTCCCCGAAAACAGACAACGTTGATCAATGTTGTCAATATGAAGATTCGGACGCCGTGACCATCGCCATTCAGAGCAGTCTGAAGGAGGCTTTCCGCGTGTGGAAGGAAACTGAGTTCACTGAAAAACCCTCCAAAAACCGCTACTCTACCAACAGCTTCAAGACCACGAAAACGATAGGGATTAAGCAAGAAAATGCCTCAGTCTTGGTCTCCAAGCAAACGGAGAAAACCGACAGCCATATCATTCCCAAAAAGGAGGATTATCCTCCACTAGAGTGTCCGAGGACCGCCAGTGATGATGAGGAGATGTGTCCTCTGTACCGCCTCTGTCCTCAACTTGCTCCAGGAGCAAAGAACAAGATGTACCCATCTTCTCCCCTTCACACTCGCGTGGAGGGAAAGGTTCTTTTCGACTCGCCTCTGTCCTGCGAAAAAGACTTTGAGCTGAGGGTGACAAAGGAGAAAGTGTGCCTCGAATATGTACAGCTGGAAGAGAGAATGATTCGAGGGTTCATCCGAGTCGCAAACACTGGCTACGAGAAGGAGGTGATGGTGCTGTACACCATAGAGAAACCAAACTGGAAAGTGGGTTCCAGCTGCAAGGCAAAGTGGGAGGAAAGTGTGTGCGACGGTACTATGGACCGATTCTTCTTCTGCTTCGACGGACTGGAGACCGTTGGCAAGGTCTCCTTTAGAATCTCCTACAACGGGACTTTCACAGACGACAACAATGGACAAAACTACACTGTCGCCTATGCATAAGTATTGCACTGGACTCTATGCAGATTTTATTGTATTGTAGTTACCCATGAATCTGAGGTTATCGGTCAACATGCGCTTATTATGTGCAACTGCATGCAAGAGTTTGCGCTACAGTGTACTTTTGGAGATGGTGAAGGGACAGTGAAATAGAAATGTATATATTATACAAGAACTGCTATTCTATATTCCAACTTCCACTCACATGCAGAGTCAGAATGTACTGTGCAATAACGGCATGAACTGTGCAACGTGCAAGAATTGGTTCTTACAACAAACCCTCTTAGGTGAGATAAAGCGAGATAGGGAGAGATGCATCCAGATAGAATTTCTTACTAGTCAAGTGTAGTAAAAGTATTAACAAAAGTTGGTTTGTCTTTTTCTCAGCTCATGTGCCTATAAAAAATGCAAAATAATTGCCAACCTTAAAGGGACACCAAAACAAGGACTAGAAAAGGATGGGTAAAGGAAAATAGGTAAAGCAAGAAAATGGACATTACTACTCCATACTCTAACTGTAGTTAAAATGGACCCAATACTTGGTTTGTTTTTGATTCCCTTCATTTGCCTACAAAAAATGCAAAATCGTTGCCACCCTTAACAGGGTGGGAATTTGGTAAAAGGTCCAGCAAAACAGGGGCTAGGTAGGGATATGTAATGCAAAATAGGGAGAGGTAAAGCCAGATAGCAGACATTACTATTCCATACTCTAAATGAAGTCAGAGCACTAGAAATAGTTGGTTTGTTACTTCTTTGATTCATGTTCCTTTTAAAATAGCAAAATAATTGACACCATTATTGGGGGTTGGCAAGGGAAAACAGAGTAAAAGCATGATTTTTTTCCGAAATAGGGAGAGGTGCTGGAAGATAGCCCTTGTTACTATTCCATACTCCACCTCTAGCCGAAGTATGAAGGATAGTTGGTTTGTCTCCAAATCCACACATGCTCCAACCAAAAATGCTCTAAGTTTACTGGAGTCGACTAAGTTTTTGGCACCCAAGGGTGGCGGTTTGGTAAAGGGACAGCAAAACAAGGGCTAGAAAAGGATCGGTAAAGGAATATAGGAAAAAGGTAAAGTAAAAGAATGGACATTACTCTTCCGTACTCTAACTCAAACTTGATCTCTGTGAATAGAAATCGTGCCGGTCAGAATCCCTGGTGGAGATGCACAGAAAGAAAGAGCAGTGAGTTCAACGGGTCATGTACTAGTCACATGACATCATAGTGGGATAATGTGCTTATCACATGGTGTCATGTGACCAACACACTATCATTGGACTCTCTCATCCAGGAACAGAATGAGGAGTCAAAAGGTTTAAGACGCCCGTTCGATCGTGCGGTGGACTTGAAACCCCCACAGAGCATTGTGACTCCGGCCAAACGACAGGCACTCATGAAGGACTCAGCTTCGTCCCTCAAAAACAAATTTTCGCACGGCTTTCAGAGATTCTTATAAAAATTTCCCTGTGCCTTACCAACATTTTAAACAACCTACATGTATATATAATGATCAGCTTTGTCCCTGAAAAACAAGTTATTGCACAGCTCTCAGAGATTCTTATAAAAAAATTCTTTTGCCTTAAACCAAAGTGCATAGGATTGTTGGTTTGTCTTTTATTCCTCTCACGTGCCTACAAAAAATGCAAAACCATTGGCACCCTTTATAGGGGTGGGAATTTGGTAAAGGTCTAGCAAAACAGGGCCTAGATAAAACAGGGAGAGGTCATAGTATTAATTATAGTTTGTCTCCAAATTCGCTGATGCTCCTACAAAAAAATGCAAAATCATTGGCACCTATATTGGTGAGTTGGGTCAAGTGCACCTGGGGTGGTGAAAAGACAGTGAAAAATTAGGATAGGTACATACAGCAAAATTATGCTACTATTCCAACTGTATAATATAGTCATCTTCCGTTTCATTGCTGAGTGAGAGTGCACTGTGCAATAACACAGTGTGTGGGGTTTCCCTTCATCTTGTGCGAACTCCCACCTGCTGATTTAAGAGTTGCCCTGGTAATTATAGCTAGGATGGTACAGTTCTCGCATAGAGTGCAGAGTCGTTGGTTCAAATCCAACCTAGCAACTCATTTTTTGTTTTCCAAGATCTAACTATAGTGTGCCTTTTCTTTGCTTTGACCTTCATGATGCAACATGGCTAGAAAAAACTGTTGCTGACGCCATTGCTTCTGTCGGCCTACCTATCATTCACCTGGACTTGATAGCTACCAAAGAACTGGCCAAACATCCTGCACCCACTTTCGAATTGGCATTTGAAGTTGGCGCGTACTATATATACGCGTGTAAAACCCGCCCCTCAAAGTTAGCTAGCCGGCCCAGCGCGCAGTACGCCCTGGGGTGAGTATCTGTATACCACCATGGCGGAGTTGTTCGGCGAGAACAGCAGTACCAAGGTTGAACTCGATGAAACAAATGTTTTAGAGCTTGTTGCAGTGCAAAAGGTCCTTGTGGTAAGGCATGGATTCGATGAAGAGAAAAATGCAGTCGTAGGGACTGTGCGTGTCGCAAATTCGTCGTACGAAAAGAACGTGCAAGTCCGTTACACATTCGACGAGTGGAACACACCCTGCCGAGACTTGAACCTAATATGGGAAGGCAGTGTCGGAGAAAATAAAACAACTGATAGATTCGGTCTAATAATTCCTCTGCCAAGTCTACAGTGGAGGGGGTGTGTTGAGTTTGCCATCAAGTGCGAAGTCAACGGTCAGATATATTGGGACAACAACCATAAGAAAAACTACAAAGAGACGATTACCCGACGCGACGTGGCTAATCCTGTATGAAATTGCACGCGCGTCTCAGCGCTTGTAGCTATAGATTGTACCACACTAATCCGTCGGCCACTTGCTCGGCTTTTCGTAGTGTATATACAACAAGTTATGAATATCAGTTTGAAACGCATAATAGTGTTATTATCATTAATGAAACGTCAGAGAAAACGTTTGAGATAATAATCATTGTGATGGACAGGTAGAGTATGCGTGAACTACACGAGGGCATGCGAAGATGCCAATGCTACACAGAGGGTGCAACTTGAAGTCTCGTTCAACTAAAAACGATGTTATGACAGGCCTTCAACACTTGTCCTATGAAATGACAAATCCACTCCCGTCCCGACAGTCTTGTCACGAGATCAAGATGCGGTTATATACTCCATATGCTCTGTAAAACCCCCCCTCTTTCTCTCTCTCTTTGCGAATTGAAAATGTGCTCTCTCTCGAGAGCTTAGGAAGGCCATTTCGGGACATAGTCTACCTCTGGAAAATCCTCTGTAGCCAGGTTATTCTCGTGTAACTTTACCTTCACACAAGGGATAAGTACCTCAGATAGGGACATGCGTACTATCTACATTTTTCCAGAATTGTCCTACTTGCAGAGATTTCAGCAGTGCCTAGTTTCCAAGTGGCCACTTTTCCACACCCGCGCATGCGCACATGTTTCACACACGCCCCCGCCGCCCTGACCACACACGCCCAGCTCCACGACCGTCAAAGCATAACCAACTCACTGTGTGGCAAGTACAAATGTATAGATCAAGACTAGCCAGCCTCTGCGAGGAAGATGTCCTCAAAAAGGTTAGAAAGCAGAGAGTTATTGTCGAAAGGTACGCATTCTCAGACGAGAGAAACGTGGTTACCGGGACAGTACGTGTCGCAAATCTTGCCTTTGAGAAGAAGGTCCAAGTGTGCTACACATTTAACGACTGGAACAGCCGCTCGGACCTCAATCTGATATGGGAAGGGAGCGTGGGAGTGTTGCGTGAAACGGACAAGTTTGGGATGGTCATCCCCCTTCCTGTGGGTTGGAGTGGGCGTGTAGAGTTTTTCATAAGATACGAGGTAAACGGTCAGACATACTTTGACAGCAACGATGACAAGAAGTACGAAATTGCGGCGAGCTCCACGGACAAACCAGAAGTAGCCAACCCAATGGCTCTTTGTGAAGAAGACATTCTCAGGAGAGTTAGAAAGCAGGGGGTTTATCGTGGAAAAATATGATTTGTCTGAAGGAAATGATGCGGTTACAGGGAGAGTGCGGGTTGCAAATGTGTCCTTTGAGAAGAAAGTTCAGATCCGCTACACATTTAACGCCTGGAACAGCCACTTTGACCAGAATTTGATATGGGAAGGCAGTGTCGGAGTATTAGGAGAAACGGACAAATTCACTTGGTGATTCCTCTCCCTGCAAGAAGGTGGAGTGGATGTGTTGAGTTTGCCATCAGATACGAAGTAAGCGGGCAATGTTTCTGGGACAATAACAGTTTTAAAAACTATAGGGTGAACATTACCGACCGTGACAATTCTTAACCATCCTAGCCACGCCTATAGCTACTACATTTATAATAGCATACTCCCACGGGAGTATAGTCATGTGATGTTCTCAGCTGGTTACTAAAGCAATGTGAAAAATGTGCATTCAGGTGCTCAAATTATTAACCACAAGTGGTGGTCCAACCATAGACAACAAGTGAACTGGCACCTATGGCTGCTAGCAACTGGCTGCGCTAGACACCACATAGTGTTCCCATCCAGTATATACAATGGTCACTAGACTGCAGCACTATCTGTACTATATATACACACCATCTGGTCCAGAAGCAATGTTAGGTAGTAGCCTATTAGCACACTGCTTTGTCAATGCTCCTTACGCCGAATGTAATTTGATATAAACATGCAGTAGCCACATGAGAGAAAGTCTCTGTAGTAGGGAGTAGCTACATAATTATACTGTTATACATAGTAGCGAGCAGATTTGCAAAGGGTAATCAAGAGAGCGTGTTGAGTTATAGCTGTGATTTTGCACGGGCTATACAATGCATGTCCAACACGTTCGAAGAAAATCATAGCACGTTGGAGAGGCCTCGGACTCGACCCTGTGCTAGTAATGTGACGGCCGACCAGGCGAGCTGTCTCCACGACCTCTTGGCCTCCAGCTCATAGTCCATCGTATCGTTGTTGTCCCAGAAGTTGAGCCCCGCTACATCGTAGCTGACGGCGAAACGGACGCGGAGCGTTCGAGCGCTGGTCGGCAGCGGGATGCTGAAGCGAAACTTGTCCGCTTCGAGGCGATCATTTGCCCACACGCTTTCTTCCCACTCCGTCTTCAGATCGGAAAAGCTCTCCCAGTCGTTCAAGGTGTAGCGAACCACGACGTGTTTCTCGTAGGCGATATTCTGGACGCGGACGAGTCCCGTGAAGACGTCGGCATCGCACATCAGCTGGGCCCTCTCCAGAACCACTTTCTTCTCGTACGACAGATGAGACGCACTGGCGTCGGAGAGCTCTAAGTGTGACGAAGACATGGCAGTCCAAAAACCAGGAGATAACTCGTGCAAATATCAATGGATCGAGTCAATCAAGACGTGTGCAAACTACCTAGCTAAGAGAAGTATAGCGCTAAGTATACAGAGCAGTGCGGTTATACTACGAAGTCGCCGTAAAAGAGTTGCATGCGCTGAGCATGTGGAGTTGTGGACTTCGAAATGCTGCCCACAACCAGACTGCGCAGTTGTTGATGCGCAGAGAGAGAGGGCGCCAGTAGACCGGGCGCGCGCGCAGCCAACACGCGGATAAATTATGCGCCCATCTCACTCCCTCCGCAAGCACAGCCCTAAAAGTTTTGGTCGTTGTTTGTGTACGGTGCAAAGATGCGGCATTGAGCCTTGCTCTGCTAATAATATGCCAGCTCTGGAATGGGATTCGCAGCGAGGAAGGTTTGCACACACACAATTTTATTACAAAAGTAACCATTGTTATCGCCGTAGGTGTTCCAGAGTCGTGTGAGGGGCTGGATAACATTGGGAAGGCTAGAGCACTTGATTGCGAGCGCTCTCCCGACTGCCTCTCCCAGACCTGCAACGTGTCCGAAGGTTTTCCTGGACACGGAGCTACACTGTTACTCTTTCCCTGCGACCAGCCGCCGGCCCTCGAGATACTGCTAAACTCGCCGGAAGCCAGCGGCACAGTTGGGAAGTTTGACAGTAGTACTCCGAGCAGGACTACCGGCGTCCCCCTGAACGACCAAGGATTCCAGTTTCAGATCACCGTTTTGTGGGCGACTCCTCGCACAGCTTCCATAATGGTAAGTATCAGCTGCATCTAGCTGGGCATAATAGTGTTCAGTTGCTGCTATTGCTATATACAAAATATCACACATCATCTTGTAGTGTGATAGAGTGTAACTATCATGCCTGAGTAGATTTTGTCTGGTGATTTCAAGGCTTGTAGTCTTATTAGAACCCATGAGATGGCTGGATTCACACATTCACTGCTGTTGCAAGACAATGGGGAACCCCAATGTTTATGTTCATACAGGAAGTTTGGAAAAGCCACATGCTTGCCACAGACTATAATGTGTAGTAGTGCATGCTGATGCAAGCAGAACATTAAATATGCATAACAACTCAGATTGAGTTGATTTTAAAGGAGAATAGCTGCAATCCCCCCTTGCACGTAAGTTTACCTAATATGCAGCAAACAGTTTTGACAAAAAAGGCAAGGCACTGTTATTGTCTTTTTCTCAAGGCGGCAATTGTGAACCCAAATATGAACTTCAGGACCATTCTGCTGGACCCTACAAATGTTACTCTCCCAGCCTGCAAGCAAACTCCAGGTCAGTCAGCACACTAGGGAGTAGCTACTCATGAAACAGAAAGCTACGGACTATTATTATGATTAAGGGCTTGGCTCTCTCACGTTATTCATGTGTGTGTTTGGGAAGCTTTTGAACCCTTTCAGTTCACAAGGAGCCTGTGCCAAGTCAGTCCTCATAACGACAGGCCTTCATAGGATGTCTGCCAAATCCCGACAAATACTGGCCAATATGTATTGTGTGGCTAATCTTGTCACCTCATTAGTTCCGTACAGACACCTTGTAGCGGTGAATGTTCTTCCCAACCCAACCCAGCCTTTTCGTAGCTGAGCCCACAACTGTAGTCGTAGCCTTGCCTTTGGACACCTGTATATACTTGTTGTGATAAAGATGTAGTAGCTACTCTACTATGGCATAACTAGTGCTGACCACACATCAGATTTTTTCGCTAGATATAAATAATTAATGATGGAGTACCTGATCGAGAAACATGTTTTCTAGGCAAATATGCACCAAAACGATACATGGCATTACGTAAAGAACCACAGGTGTTGTCTTCCTATCCATAAGCAGTCAAGTCATGAAAGTGAAAGTGAATAAGGATTTGACTGCACTACATATATAGCTGTAGGAGTTACTCTAGCTTTCAGAACTTGGGTGGTAGGTTGAAAACACCTCCCCTCATAATAATACCCAGACTACCATACTCATTAACTCTCACATTGTGGATTTGTAGCAGTGATCTGAAGTATAATTCACATTTACACATGTTGTAAACATGTAAATAATACTCCTCCCCACAGAACCTACCATCACCACCTGTCTGGCTCTTCAACATATTGCAGTCAATGCAGGCAAAACGTCTGTCACGTGCACTACTGATAGTGTGGACAACTGTGACACCATCTCTTGTACCGTCCAACTACCAAACACAACCCCTGTCCAGTACAAACTGCAAGTCCTTCCCTGCAAAGAGGACACCCCTGCAATTCACGTCTTCGTCAAGAGAACCTCGGGTGATGATAACGGTGCCATAAATCAAGTGTTGACCGGGTCGAAAGAAGTCCCTGTCTTCCAAAATATGACTCTCGATGTGACACTGAAACAGCTTGATGGAGCCATTGGGCTACAGGTTATTAACCCTCGGCGCGCATGCGCAGCGAGGGTTACGGTAGTTGTCCCGTAAGTGTGTCTGTCAGTCTGTCTGTCTGTTACCACGTTTTCTGCCACCGCGCGCACGAAATCAGGTAAATAACGATATGATCGGGTTCAGTGCTACACTGGGTTGATTTTAAAAAAGGCGATTTTCGTAAAACTACTGTGTTTTAAAGTTATGGTGTGAAAACCAAGTGAACAAGCCAATATGTAAATTAGCACAGGCTTACCTGGACCGCGTCCGTTCGCTCTGTGTGTCTTGAAGGCACAACAAGTCACAACGAAGGGCATGTATCGACTCCCGCATGCTATTTACTACTGTAGCTAGCCCGTGCCAGACTCTCCGCGAGCTACTAGCGGGATACCACGAGTAAAGGCATAAAAAGCCCAGCCCATCAATTAGTGGTACCGCACATGCGCAGTTCGCCGAGGGTTTGCACTTTAGTGCTTTTCATTAACCCAGTTTTAGTAACTGTTAGTCTGCCAATAATTATTATTCTATATATTTGCCAATTAATAGAAACCACCATGAGTCAGTATTAGCTGCCACTGGAGGTTTTTGCATTATTGATGTGTAAGTTGATGATAATTTTCATTTAGGTGGATTTGCTCGAAGATCGCAAAAAGATTGAAGAGCTATTCAGCTATTCTGAGATTCCTATAAACGAGACACAGTGCGCTGGAGGTACTTTTGGGGGGGGAGGGTTTTTTGGGGGATTGTTTCACAATTATCTATAGTTGGGAATGTTTTTGGTGAGTGGGAGCGAGCATACAAGGACTCCATCTCCATGTATCTGCACTTAATGGCTGAGCCATCCTATATAATATTATAGTCTTTTACAACCTGCACCTTAGAACCGCGAAGATTGGAAAGAGGTCAGCCTCAGTCAGGCATTGAAGAGCCAGCGAATGCCACCGAATGTACGAGAGTTCTCTTGTTGGTAGATTGAGGAGGGGCAGTGAATTTCGCATAAAAGGAAGCATGTAATCCAAACACATGCACAATTCAACGACGTACAGTCGTATAATATAGAAAAATGCATACCATTCAGTCCACTAGGTTATATAGCTTGCTCTCACTCGTCAATTATCATCACATGGAGTAGCTCATAAGGTAACAATCAACGTTTGCTATATAATATGATTCACTGCATAATATACTCTTTTTAGTAGTTATAATGTTTTGACACAATAATCAACTCGCCAGGTTAAATCAAGAAGATTAGGTGTGACTAGAGCCATATAGAGGTATTATAACAATAATCCATTGCCACTGCCAACAGGTAAAATGAGGGCAGATCCAGTACTGAAAGAATCGCCTGGTCCCAGTGGAGCCAGCCCCCTTCAACTGATCCCATGGCAGCTTGTTCTCTTCTCGGCTCTTACACCACTTTATTCACTGCTTTAAACACCAATTTATACTCACTGTGTTGCTGAATATACTATGTTGTACTTTTACGCTCTCATCTCGTGTGAATTACAATTACATTTGCATGACGAGGTGAAAAGGTTTTTGGCAGTCAATACAATGAGAAAATGCTCATTATAGTCTCTCAGTCATTGGATCGGACTATATATACAGCACTGTCTGTCTCGTCTAGGTATAGTGGGACACCTCTCTCTTAATTCCATGCATGTGCAGTCCTTCATTAACCCTCGGCGCGCATGCGCAGCGAGGGTTACAGTACTTGGTCTGTGTCCGTCCGTCTGTCTGTCTGTTACCACGTTTTCTGCCACCAGGCGCAACTAACAGGTAAAATAGCGACACCAACAGGTTCAGCGCTACACTGGCTTTATTTTTAAAATAGCGTATTTTCATAAAAGTGCCTCGTTCAGAAGTTATGGCGTGGAACAAGCTAGACCGAGTCCGCTTGTGCTTATTGAAGGCACAAGAAGTCGCAACAAACAACATGATATATCGACTCCCGCATGCCATCTACTACTGTAGCTAGCCCGTGTCAGACTCTCCGCGAGCTACTATATATATACCACATACTAAAGCCCAGCCCATCAATTAGTGGTACCCCGCGTGCGCAGTTCGCCGAGGGTAGAATTATACCGGGGGGTTGCACATCTAGGCGCTAGAGGCTAGGCGGCGCCGTGCGACTCGCGCACGCGGAGGCCCTGCGCCGCGCCGCGCCGTCGTACATCTAAATGCATTGTGCAGTTCTCTATAGGCGTACAACTCCTGCTTTACCGATTAGGTCGCCATGACTCGCGTAGGGTGTGTTGCCGTCGCTCTTGTCCTGTCCATGTTCGCTTTTTATCAAGGTCAGTTATTGAACATTGTCACAAGTTTCCGCAGGCTAATCGCGCACGTTCGCGCATTTTACTTGCCTTCACCTTGCGCCCCTCTGCTTTGCAGTGAACTGTGATGACATTGACGACGACGAAACTACCTGTGATGTACTACGCGACATCGCCAGGGATATCGACTCGGCCAACTGCACAACTAACGGAAACACAACTAACGGAAACACAGATTGCGACACCCTCCGATGCATGAGCACTACGCCCCTCGCCACTACCGAGTACAACGTTACTGTCCTCCCGTGCAATAAGCCACCAGGAATTAGAGTCACCCTGGTAGTTAATGGTAATAGGGAGCTTGACGGGAGAATTTTCACGGAGAGCGAGGATGTGAACGTAGCTGGAGGGGCTGCAACAGTAAAAGTCACCCTGGATCAGTTGGAGGACGAACACTCCATCGGAGTAGCGGTATGGTTATTATTATGCCTCTTTCGAACATGCATGGAGTATAATTAGACACTTTTTGTTGCATAGCTACCTACACAATTTGCACTCTTCTGGGTAAAGGCATCAGCTAGAGATACATTTATAGTCTGGGCTGCACCTCAGGCCGAGGCATGTTGCATTGATGTGCTCTTTGCAAATAGGCAAGGGTGAAGGATGATGTACCGTAAGATAGGTACGCAAGTGGTGGTACTTACATGTATAATACCTATCAGAGGCACAAACCAGCCTTTGTGCAACTTTCTATGTTACAGTTGCGTTCTGTGGCCCCAACATTCGGGATTGACACCACCTTTCTGAACTACACCAGAATTCCAGTGGAATGTGAAGGTAAGCTATTAGCACACTGATTATCATAGTTGGCATTACACATAGTCTTTGCATGAGAGCTGCGTACATGTATGGCATGCATGGACAGCCTTTTGACCTTGAGGGTCCTATCAATGTTCCATGGCCTCCCTAACGTAACAGAGGTATGCTAGTTAACATTTCTCAGGTGTAGTTAAGATTTCTCTGATGTCAGGGTAGTTATACACCATGACCAACCACCCAGAAAGCACACCAAGTATGTTAGCTAGCTATTATTACAGGTGGTGGTGCGACAGGAGTGAGGGGACAAGTGTTGCTGATTGTCCTACTCTCCGCCATAATGGCCATTTGGCAGCTTCTCTGAAGAAGAGTGTAAATAAATGACACAGAAAACTCTCGTGAACATTATTTTAGGATTAGTCTGTATTGTCTTTGGCTATAGCTACACTGTAGTATATATAATGTTTTTGAGCAACTTTGGGGTCTACAAAAACAGAGTAGGGAAGAGAAAAAGTGGGGTGATAGAAATGGCCGCTGAAGCCACACCTAGAGACCTACAACAACCATAACCATATGGACCTGCTGCATGTATGCACATGCTTTGGCACCAGTACTGCAGTTGTGTTCTAAACACTGTTTGAGCTGATAACACATCTAGGCAAAGCTAATAATTGGTTACGTAAACTTAGGAGAAGACAGCTAAATGGGGCATTGATGTATATATGACACAACCAGACATGGTACACAACCACATACAACAGAAAGTAAAATATAGTGGAGACAAGATACCAGTACAATAACAACGTGGTAACTGATCTCAAGGGATTATACATGTCAGACTAAAGTATACGGAAGGGTTGAAACAAAATTAACGAATGTCCTTTGTAGAGAGGTCGTCCCTATCTCAGAGGGTCTCTTATCAGAGGTTCCATTGTATAGTGCAGATGGTCCTGAATGACTTGGAGAGTAAGCTCTGAAGTGTCCAGATGACAAAATTATCACTCATATGGTATCACACAGCAACTAGCCAACAATGTATGGCTGCCAACACTTCAAGTTTTATGGTGTATAATTGTATATACACATGTGCAAAAACCAATCATGAATACAATATTATGGCTCTGTGTGATGTACAATGTAAAACACAATTAGGGAGGTTCACTTGCTTGCTGTTCTTGATGCGCTGATCTCACTATAGTTATAGAGAAATTGAGCAAAAAGGGGGACTATTTCAGATAACACAACCGGGGAAAGGTCAAGAAAGATACATAAATGCTGTTACAGTGCTAAAATAAACACACACACACACCCATGCATTGTGTGCTACATATTGTGTCAAATTTTAGCGTAAAGTTTTCACAGGGAACACGAAAAAGAACTGTAGGTGTGTGGTAACCAATATTAGTGTGCAGGAAAATTCCTCTAAAACTTATAAGAGTGCCGATTTCGTGAAATATCAAACAGTGGCGCTACCTATTACGCACACTGGGAAAAACTAGCCACGTTCAAAGTCTCCCTTACTCCATGGGCACAATTTACTCATGTTACACCAATGCTGTGCACAAGGAGAGTGCGAGCCCTAGGAAAAAATCCATGCTCACTTCTGCCACTGCGATTGAGGTAGGCCAGTATTCTGAGGAGGAAGGAGGACGGGATTGTGATGGTGTTTCGACTCTCCTGCAACATCTGCTCGTTCCTTCTCACCACCTGCACATGTATACACTCACACTGTATGTACTATATACAGGTATGTATGTGTGTACTGTAAACTCTGAGAATGGTCCTGAGAGTGACTCACACAGACATTTCTGCAGTAACACACACATCAAGGACAATACACATCTACAGTGGAGCGCAACAGTTGAGAAGGGAAAAGTCTTGCATGGTCAAGCAGTGTCTAATTCCCAGACTCCACCGTAATGTGAATACATAGGACGTAGAATAAGCTCTATAGTGCATGGACATCTGAGAAAGGATAAATGTCCAGCCATACAACGGTGAGATACATATGCATGCTCTAGCATTGTCCCCCCCCTACCGGAATGAGTGATATGTCAAGAGAGAGGTGGGATGAGGCCATCCCACTCGCCACAGTATGGAGTGTGGTGTCTTTAGATATAACTGAAGCCTCAGATCCCCTTCTCACTCTTCTTTCTCCTTCTTCTTTCATTACATTGTGTAGGTCAAGCGTGAGCTTTCTTAAATCAAGCACAAGCTTTCTTTACAATATGTACGTCAGTTTTTTAACATTATGTAAATCCAGCCTGAGCTTTCTTAACATTATGTAAATCAAGCGTGAGCTTTCTTTACATTATGTAAGTCAAGCGGGAGCTTTCTTTACATTATGTAAATCCAGCCTGAGCTATCTTAACATTATGTAAATCAAGCGCAAGCTTTCTTTACAATATGTACGTCAGTTTTTTTAACATTATGTAAATCAAGCGTGAGCTTTCTTTACACTATGTAACTCAAGCGGGAGCTTTAGTCAGCTTTCTCTACAGTAAGAGTGAGCTTTCTCTACAGTGTATGTATGTAAGTCAAGCTAAAGCTTTACAGTATGAAAGTTAAGCGTGGGCTGTTATTTCATATGTATATACCTCGTCGAGGTCAGAGAGAGATGCCTCCTGATCTGCCACTGGCTCCCATAGCTTTACATTGTAGTCAATCCCACTGGTGGCTATCACTGTAAGTAGACACACACACACACACACACACACAACACACGCACATATACACAGACATGTACGTGAAGGAACACAATGCATTTTGGACTAGCAATCACAGAGAGTGCGACCTTGAACCACTCGTCGTGATATTTGTGCATGCTCCACTGATTTTGTACAATTTTTATCCCACGAAATTCATTAATCTGCTGTGGTGCGGTTTCCCTATGAGATGGGAGAAAATTCACATTGGGGCTGGCAGAGACATTCCAAGGCTATGGTCCGTTAGAACTGGGCGTGGAAAACTAATCGATGTTATCATACCTGGGACAATTGAACCATTGTGTCTCGTCCCCAGACCCCAACCACAAAAACGAGAGAAATGGTCTGATTAAATTTTCGGAATTTTACTATAGTGGGTTGAATCAGTCACAATAACAAGAGGGGGGAGGGTGAGGTTAAGCAGGACTCTACAAAACAGGTTTTAGTTCTTGCGTTTGCTCGGCAATAATACATAACATTGTCCTAGTAGTGTTGACTATTGCTACCCGTACAGGGTGTCCTCACGGTAGGCAGAAGGGTGGGGCTGTACGCAGTTGACCACGTAGGTGTCGGCGGTAAACATGTTGACCACCTCTCCAGTCCACTTGTCCCACACAAACACTCGGCCGCAGTCACTCCCACTCATCACCCAGTTGTCTCCAAAGAAGTTGGCCTGCTTGATCTGTACATGTACAATACAGCTTAAGTCACACACACACACACACACACAGTTATGTACAGCTACCATACGCACAGAAGTAGATAGCTAAAGTGTGGAGACGTGGCACTGTATGAGTGTACACAAGCAGCAGCAAGTGCCATCTGCTTGATGTATGTATATATACATGTTTCCATTAGCCATAATGTATACACAATTCCAAACACAGAGAGTGCGACCTTTGAACCACCACCCTTCGTGATGTTTGTGCATGCACAAGAGATTATCAAGTGGCAGAGACACTGGGTACGTGTATGTGTGTGCTGTAGGGTAGCAATAATAACTACATACAAAAAAAAGGAATGTTATGAGTCGAAAAAGGCACTAAGTTTTTGGTGAGTATACACCTACACTGTTAAGGAAGGGTTTATATGGCAGAGTACAGTTGAAGTGAAGGGACTGGGTGGCACGAATGTTGTATATAGGGTTTAGGATTACTAGAGGAGGAACGAGGTTTGGACTCAAAAGGGTGTGCCTACCCCACCTATGTAGGTTCCTATTCACGCACCCACATCGGCCACATAATACGTACGTCTGCACGCAGGTTTTTACATACATACATACATACATACATAACACTGTAGGCAATGCCAGGAGTATTTGGCAGATGGGGAGCTAGCAAGCCTAAAGGACGTGGAATATACCACAATAGTACATACGTACTATGTCAATACCGTGGTCAATAGAAATGCACTGTGTGACAGAGAGTTACGTACCATAGTACGAGAGTTTCTGTGGCCCTTGTACACCATGAATGGCTGCAGTTGCGGGTAGGACTCACGAAATGGTTTGAACCTCCTTCCCCCTGTGTCCTCCTCCCCCTCCCTCTCCCCCTTCTCCCCAACTTCACTTCCCCTGCCAGCCACACCCCTCGACCTCTCCCCTCGTCTCCGCTGAGCTCTGAACCTTGACCTCTGATAGCTGTGGTCAGGTGACCTGTCACGTGACCTACGTCCACGCACAGACGACGGAGAACCACTAGGGGAAGTTTCTCGCACATTCTCCAGAAGGGGACTTGTAGGGACGGAATGGTTGATGGGAGAAACTAATGCATCATCTGGCAGGGGGTTGAGCTCTACTGAATAATACAGTGAGGCTCCTGTCTCACTAGTTCTTGTTGTGTCAGTGGCTGCGTTCTCTGAACGGTGTGCATCAGTGTGGTTGCCCACTGGACGATTACTTTCGCTGGCTGTAGCTACTTCAACAGTGCCTTGACTGACGGCTGAGTTCTGAACGTCTTGTGTCTCTTCCCCCGGGCTCAAAGACAGAGAGTCGCCCATGGCTTGGTGGACGGCCTCCGTTACAACATTCACCATCGCAACCTCCACCGCGTCTTGGGCCAGCCGCAAGTCGTGGTGTGGATTCGCCTGATCCACGACACCAGAGTCTCTGTCACTCTCTCCGTGATTATTACTGGGAGTCTCCAGCAGCACACTCTCTTCATCAGCAACTCTTTCACCGTCCGGTTCGTTCAGTGTCCATGATTCTGGAGATTGCTCGTCGAGATCAGGATTGTTTTCACGTCTGTCCATCTCCTCCACCTCGCTGCTCTCTCCCTCATCCCTCCCCTCCCCATTCCCCTCCCCCTCCACTTCACCCTCTCCCTCGTCACCGCTCACGGAGTCGAGGGCCATGTCCACCCACCGCTCAAACAGTCTCGACATTCTGTTCATGAGACTCCCTCTCCCCCCTCCTCCTCCTTCACCCTCCTCAGGTTCCTCCGACACCTGGTCCTCTGGTCTCGCTTCCGGTCCAGTATCAGACCAGTCCCCACGTAATCTAATCCGCTTATGACCAGGGGCCACCCTTCTTCGACCGCCAACCGCACCCTCTGACGATGAAGCTACATTGTAGTGTAGTGGAGGGGAGTCAGTATTATCGCAACTGTCTCTTTGCTGCGACTTTGTACAATGTCTCTTTTGCCCACGTCCAGGGTAGCGCTCAAACTGCGAGAGGTATTGCGGTCGCGAAATTTGCGGTGGGGCAAGACCAAAGTTTGAACTGCCGCGAATCCCAGAATTGAAGAGGTACACGTAGTCTTCGCTGTAGCTCGCCACGATCTGGCTCCCGTCGGCGTTAAAGTTGACGGAAGTGATTTTTAGTTTCTGGTCGCGGATGGCAGCCGGGCGGTACTTGACAGGGGCAGAGGAGGCATGGAGGACCTGGAGCGGTGAGTCGGGTGCCGGGTCCTGCCAGGTGTCGCTGCGCCGCCTGTCGAGAAGGCGAAGTGTCCCATCTCCGAGTCCAACCACTACATAGTGAGGCTCTAGAGGATGGACCGACATGGACGTCACCGCACTGGGGAACCTACACAGCATACTCTGAGGCCAGGGGAGTAGGAAAGGGGAGAGGGGCAGAAAATAAGACAGAAAGAGAGAAATATAAGGTAAGAGAGAGAGAGGAAAAAAGAAGTACGGAGAAACAGGAAAAAGGAAAAAGTAAGAGAGGAGGAGAGAGAGAGAGTATAAAAGAGCTATATAGAGCTACATTTGCAGAGTAGGCGGTGGGTAGAAAAACAGAGAGTGAAGAATGTTAGAGATACAGTAACAGTGTGTGAATCCTTTGCAAGTGAAGAAATGAGGTTGCAAGGCAGAGGCAAGGCAGAGGCAAGGCAAGGCAAGGCACAGAATACATTAACAAAGAAGCTGACAGTGTCCCAAGGTAACCCCACCTCCAATGATAGATACACACACGCAATGTATATACATAGAAGTGAGAGCTTACTCGGTTGCAGTTGCCGTCACAGTGGCAGGAGCTGGAGGTCCGAAGGTCGTACAATCTGACCATTCCCAACTCCTCACATGTGAAGAACTCGTGAGGACAGCCTGGACTAGTGGCCACCTGTAGAGAACAGTTGGTAGTATCCTTGTATAAACGTACCCAGCTCATCCATACGTGTTTCACTAAGTACAGTAGTACGGGATGGACATGGTACCCAGTATGGGGCTATGGGAGGTTTGGTCATCTTTATACCTTTACATCGCATGACGTTGCACATATGAGCAAGTAGACTCATTTAGTCACACAAAGTACTCTCTTTCCCAGTCGATGTAGGTTTACATGGCATTACGTGATGTTACACATGGCGGACTGTTAGTGCGTGATTGCCGCACATGGCGGACAGTTAAACCTAACTCCTCAAATTCAACATCATAGAACATATATGTCACATCGCAAGGAATAGAGCTAAAGAGGAGCTACATGATAAAGCATAGATTGATGTCGTAAGTTGCGTTTAAAGTTAACCTTATCCAGAGGTTTTTCAAGCACGACTTAGTAGGAGTACTCTTGACCCACGTTCTTCATGAACCAGTACATGAGACTCGGCCATCACAGGGGCTCACCTGGTAGGTGATGGAGGACTGACACTTGAACTGGTGGGCCACATAGTCTCCGTACGGACTCAGCTCTGACACCTCCACTGAACCTATCCCTGCACACGACACTGCCTGCACAGACGTCATACAGTGACGTGTTTCAAACAGCAGAACGTTGTTCAAAAGAGAGTCACACACACACATTTTTTTGTAGCAGAACATTCTCTTCTAACATGAACGACTTTAAAAGGCAAGCCCACACAGTCATATGAATTGCACGAATTTTTCATTATTATGTATGATTATGTACAGTTTAAATGTTACGTAAATACTATAGGCAAAACTGCATAAAAATTTTTTTTGCCAGCCAAGAAAATGTGTCGTTATAATTATAGTTACATACATTATACATCAAGCTACTGATATAGTGAAATTTGATGGTCACCCAAGAGTTCTTATTAACCAGTGAAAAATCGAATCGAAATGTGAGCTAGAGTTTTGTTTAGAGCAGAGATCAATTGCATAGAACTGTCTAAACCTGCTGACCTTACAGTCTCCAGTCTGTGGGAGGAACTTGGCACTGAAGATGTTGGACTGGTGACTTGTGTGAAATGAGTGACACGTCTACAGCAAAACCAATGGCACACAAAGTGGTCAGTGTTTGGCATTCTACACCTGAAAGCACTGAACTGCAAAACCCTCAGTATGAAAGGAACTGGCATACACATCTTTGCGGATAAGGTAAACATGTATGTACATTAAGCAGGGAGTGGAACGGCAGTAATTACAAGGAGTAACTGTAAGATGAAACGTTAAAATTGTTAACCTTACATCAAAAATCCTATTTACTTTACTTTTTGTGCAGAAACAAATGATGAAGAGCTAGAGAGGTACTACATGCACAAAAGCAAGTGGTATAATCATGTCCACCGTGGGTTGATTCATGTGACCAAGGGCTACACATCCCTGCATGCTTTAGGGTGTAAGATAACAGACTGTATGTACCAGTCCAGTGGCCATGTCATAGATATTGATGTGGCAGTCATCAGATCCTGATATCAGCCTGGTCCCAGTCTCATTCCAGGACACAGAGTTAACCTGGAACACGGACAAAACAGCTACATATACAGCTCACATACATCGTACCACATGTGCTAATGTGTGGCAATTAACAATAACACCTTTGTAGGAACGTTCTGTGCGTAATAGTATTGAATGCTCTCTACAGATCACCACTATAGCGAACCGACAGCTCACATACCCACACTGCAATTAACAATTAAAAAGTTGTAGAAATGTTTGTCTTGTGTACGAATTTTCTGGAAAATTCTCTACAGATATGCCACTAAACTCACACATCCGTTATGTCCCTCCAGTACTCTAGTATTTGTCAGTCTCTTCACCAGATACAAGGAATCTGCAGAACAAAAGTACGTTCACCACTGCTCCACTGCTGAGCAGGAAGGTTGTGCAACTATTGTATATACCTCTGACGGCTCTAGAGAAGACGTTACGTGGGAGAAGACCTTGCTGTCGCTGGCTTACAAACGAGTGGAGAGACTCCATCACTTTCTTTGCTTGTTCTATCCCCGACACACACGTTTTTAGTTCAATATTTCTCGCGTCTCTTTCGCTCAATTGAGGTAAATATACGGTAGCACTAAGTGCGCTTATTTTATAGGCGCGCTATGTTGGATCATGATGCATGATGCAGGTTGAAGTGTGCAAAGTGATTCCCTCCTGCTTTGAAGCTGAAATTAATGAGGGCCCAGTCTCAGTTCTTGCCAATGGATCCTCCTTTCTGTTTTTCATCATATTTGAGAAAGTGGTAAAGTTTCCTTTTTGCGATGCAGCCGATTTGTTGTTACCTGCTCTAACTGCATTTCAGGTCTCAGTGAAGTTTTATGACACTGCTGCTGTACTTCATGTGAGCCCCCTACTTTGTTCAGGGTCCCAGCAGCCGCTAGCACTCTGCTGCCTCAGCAATGGGAACATTTCTGCCCTTTCCCTAAAACTGTAAGCTACGTATGAAACTACTGCAAATTTCTTGCGAATGTTTCATTAGAATCTGTATGTATGTAGCTACCTCATCTTTACAGTGCAATTTCCAGGGTTCCAACAGAAGTCCAAAGTGCTGATATTCTCTCGTCCCTGTTTGGAGAGACTTGTGACAACATATCAGCTCCAGCACAAGCTGTTGATGGCCGCGATGTCTCAGTTAGTTTGTTCCTTTCCCCTGTTCGTCAGTGGAGCATCCGTTCTGCCTTTGTCTGTAATGACAAGCTCATTGTCTCTGCAAGGAAGGAGCATTGCTCTGTTCTCAATGTCTATCTGTCTTCTTCCGTTATCCTGTTTGGTGAACATAAGCTTCCAGTGTTTTCCAGTAGCGTTCTCTTTCAACATGAGATAGGGTCTTGCAGTGTGCCTTCTAAGGGGCTCTTATCTACAACTATAGCCTACAGGCCTGTTTTATCTCTTCTCCGCTCCCAGTCTTCTGTGAAGAGTGACAGTTCAACATTGAGTATTGCCTCGTCTGCCTCAGACGTTTTCTTCCGTCAGCTTTTTGGTTTCGAGTTGTCTCTAGCTCGGTCAATTGTCGCCGTCGTTGGGACCCAAAGTGTGCAGTTTATTTCTCGACACACGTGGTTATTGCACCCCTTCTTCTGCTGATCAGGTGCCTCTTTATCCAATAATACCTTGTGTAACCTGGGCCAATCTGTAGTTGCCATTCACCCCCTGTGTTTGCCTACGCATCCTGAACATCAGCAAAGTGAAGACTCATCAGCCAATTCCTTGCTTGTTGTCGGGAGGTTAGGGAAGTTGGTGCTTTTGACTGAGGCAGAGAAAGGGAGAGAGGCTCCTTTGGTGGCCGAGTTCAGTGTTACCGGACCAATTCTCTCCTCTTTCCTTGTGGAACGGCATAGCTTTGTCTACAGTAACACGAGTGGAATATACCGCATTTGCCTCGAGCCTTCTTGCCTTTTAAAGTCATTGGAGTTAGATGGCAGTTCTGTTATGTTCCCTAGGTCACAGTTCAATTCTCCATGTCCTGTTTCTGCAACATGTATGTCATTTATCACAGGGGCCTCCCCACCAAACTGTCAATGAGGCTTGCAGTGCTACAGCCATCAGTGTTGACGGCAAGCTGCTGAGGTTTCAGCTTGAGTCATGCAAAGACACGGTAATGGTGACTAAAAGACTAGGCGTTGGTAGAGAGATGAGAGAGAACATGGACTCCATCAATAAGACTGGCCAAAGAAATCTCACGGCTCAAAGTCAACTGAAACTTGTCGACTCTGCACTGATGGAGTTAAATCAGGCTCTGTCAGTACTGCACTCAGTCCTGTCTTCCAATGGTCGAGTCTTCTCTTCCACTGTGTCTCCAGTGACAGATAGGGTAGGCTTCTGCCACTTAGCACTGGGTGGTGAGGTGGAACTCGGCTATACTGGCCTGGACAGGCTACAGAGAGGGTGGGCACTCTTGATAACTACCCAGTGTACCTCTAGTACTCAGAGCAGGTTTACTACTCTATCATTGGCTGGTATGGCACCCAATGACATCCTCAAAACACAGAGTCAAGTTGGATCTAGAAACTGGAATGCCAGCTACCTTTTCTGTCGCTGTCGCTGTTTGTTATAGCCCAACTCACCTCCATTCGATACTAACCCAACTTAGTCTTTATGCACCCCAGAAAATCAATCCTTGCCGTCTGTTAGAGGCAAGTGGAGTTGCGTTCCCACTGGCTTATGCTGTCTTTGATGCTCTTGACTTCACCCAACCATGTTCACCTAAACTCATACACCGCACGTTTGCTTCAAATGTACCCCACACTCCTCAACAGGGCCATTCCTTTGAAATGATTCTCCCAAACCCAAATCAAAGAGCAGAGGTGTCCTCAGACTCTGTCTTGCCTGTTCACAGCTGCAGAGGCGTTTTTGATGCGCTTCTTCCACATAGCATCACTGAATCTCTTTCCACTGGCAACAATGGACCTTTTCAAAACAGGCATGCACCTATGGCGGCTCAATTGTTTCATTTGAGATCAATAGCACGGATGAAAGCTGTCTGTTGAAAATTACGAACATTGGGATCTGTCAGAAGTATGGTAGAAATCATGAGTTTGATTTGCTGCAGATGCTAGGGTAGAGAAGTTTCCTGTTTTCCAGCTGAAGTAGCAACTTCCTTACAGGTATATGTCTACTGCTACATGTATTGTACTCACTGATTTTTTCTCCACTCTATGACAGGTGAAATCCAGGGAAATGGCAGCAGTTGCAGGAAAACTATCAGAGTTATTACTGTCATCTCCAGCTCCTGCAAGAATTCATGATCTTATGTTAGAAATCTTTGCAGTCTTTTGCTGTATTTGTCGTCTCCGTTAGCAATTTTTTATCATCACTAAGCGAGCGCGGACAAGCGCGCGGTTTCCGCCACCGACCGGAAGCCGTCTCACACAAGTCGACTCCTGCGTCCCCGGGCGACGTCGTCCGTACGTATATGCTGCTGCAAACTAGCTAGGGGCCACCGAAAAATGTCCGATCAGGTTAGAATAACTGTGTCTTGTCTTGCTTGCATGCCAAAATCGTGTCTGATCATGGCTTGTTAGTGTTTTAGGGCATTTTGAGGCAAAAGGCTCTCTAGCTATACATCACTGATCATAGTCGTGGCGTAACTAGTGTATGTAGTTGAGAATATTCATATATACACAGTTGGGTATTGATGACTTTGCCCAAGTTCAAGAGGCTCTGTGGGAGGCCAGATCAAAATGGCACAACATTGGGACCCGACTCAAACTGGGGGTCTTTGATCTCGATTGCATCAATTCTGAGCCAGGGTTTGGTCTGGATGACAAGTTCAATCTCATGATCAAGACCAGGTTGAAGAGGATGGAGCCATGCACCTGGAGAGATCTCTATGATGCTCTTAATCATCCTACTGTTGATATGCCCAGTGTTGCCAACAAACTCACAGCAAAGTTACCAATTGGTGTGTATAGATAATACTTATTCATGAGTTTTACATTAATATCTATTCGTCATGCAGTTGTGGCACTACCTGCAGAGCAAAGGGCAGCAGGTGTGGCTAAAATCTCATCTATTAGTGGAGGAGTCCAAGGTTCAATGCAACATAGTATAATACAAAGTAACTGGGAACGAACGCAATGTATTGTTGGCGAGCAAACAAGAGAGCCACAAGTGATGTGGCATAATTATGGAAAGAGAGTAGAGTGTGTGGGTGAATATACACACATTGTAGCCTAGTTTTGCTGATTTTCAAAGGCACCGCGGTAGTAGTACCCAAGCCGCCAGCACGTCATCCCCGAGGCCGAGGATGTGTGGCTGCCGTTAATTAATTGAGTCAATAATGAGTATCCGCTGGCTCGGTAGCCACAGTTTACAAATCAGCAAACAATGGCCAGTGACCTTTCTTGGTAAGCTGTAGATGGCTGTGGCTACATCCCAAGCTGGCAGGCAAGGGAAAAGTGGCGAGCCAGCCTAAGCGAGAAGATGCGCGCGCAAGCCAGAAAAAGGCGAGAGCTGGAGCGAGAGGGCTGTGTGCCGTGCGTCACTTGTGTCGGTCGTTTTGAACACGCTGTTCAAAAATGTCAGGCTTAGCTGCACCATAGCTGAGCTGTAGCGTACGTGATATACGAAGGAGACTCCAAAGAACGTCATTCCAGGTCTGCGCGGCGTCTTGTCTTCTCTGCTTGGTCCGCGCTACAGAAGCCCGCTACAATTGCACGCTACAATTGGACGCTACACTACGCTCCACCGCTAGCTAAAGTAGTACTCGCTCGAACAAACGGTCAACAGGCAGCATGGGTTCACGCATGCATGCTCTCGGCCTCCTTTCCCTCGTCTCGCCAACCGATTTCTATGGCAAAATTTTGATGACGTAATATGGTTGCTAGGCTAAAAATTGGTTAACGCCTAGCCTTGGTTCTTCAGCGGTACCGGATATCCCCTCAGCTGTTTACTCTACCCCCCTCGGGCTCCGCCTTCGGGTGCTAGAGTAAACAGCTTCGGGGGATATCTACGGTACCGCTTCAGAACCAGGCGTTACCTATACATAATTTGGGATTTTCCCCTTGTAGCCAGGCAGGGACTTGTGGCTCCTTATGATAACAGTCAATGGGTGATCATTAGCCAGTGTATATTTTGCAATATGGTTGAGTGTATAATATTATACCTACATGGATACAGCACTGCTGCGTATAGGTTTACCCCATAATTTTGACACTCCATAAACGGAAGGTTCTTGTACCAATCCTACCGGTGCCAGGTTTACAATTTTTAGTTCTAGCCTAAGAATCAATTCTTTCGTACTACTAGATAAAGAAATCACCGAGACGAGAGAAAAGATAGATCAGTTGCAGAAAGAATACATCGATATCTCCGTTTGTGCTGCTGAAGAATTTAGCAATTGTGTTGCAGTTAAAAAGTTGCGCTACTCCCTCCTCTGTCTTCCATCTAATCTCAAAAAGGAGCATAGAAGGTTTGTTACTAAAGTGAAAGCCGAAATAAAACAAGCTGAATCAGCTGAGGATATAATTGATGTTATTGGCGAACACTATGACTATCTCCACTACACTCTGTTGAAGTATGTCGTTGATCTCTATGGGAGTCAGGACTTGAAGAGTAAAATGGCAAACTATGCCGAGAAGACGAACGGGTTTAGGAAGGAAACAAGGCTTGAGATATTTTCAGCGATTTGTGCCGATGAGCCTGAAAGGTCTGATGTAAGGTTCACCACGATGGTTAGTAAGCACCAAATGGACTGGAGAACCGCTACACTGGAAGACGTTGAGAAGTTTCGCATTCAAGTCTGCCGGGAGCTGTCCTTGTATGACTTCTCCCTCAACCTCGTGAAAGTGGCTCGAGGGTGTGTGGAGGTGACATGGCGGGTTCCTCGTTCTCTGGTGACCTACATCCAGAACTCTGTCAAGCCCAGCAGTCAGAGCATGATGGAGCATCACGTCACCACTCTCACCATTGACGGATTCATCGTCTACGACAGAGAGCAACTGAGGAGCCATCTGGAGTTAAAGAGAGACGGAGATGCCGAGTGGTAAAGAGGTTTTCCCTTGCAAGGGCAGAAGAAGGCTGGGGTTGCTTCAATCCCGGCAAGGTTCAGGCAGTCAAAGACTTGTTTAATGGCTGCGAAAACCGTTTCTTTGACTTGGTAGCATATCATGGCCATGTCGTTTCGGTGCAATCCTTTGCCGGGACTGATGTGTACTTGAAAACTGTGACCAGCATCGACAAGAACAATCTGGCCAGGTGTCTGCGGCATGTAGAGAGAGACGACATTGTGTGACAGGCACTGCGGGGAACCATCGTCAGCTCTGGTCAACTTCCAGTCGTACGTGGCCAATAGGCAGGAGATGGTCCTGGAGAAGCAGCTGAGGGGGACACAGTTGTTGGTGAACTGGACCACCAGTGGAGCTATTGCAGAAGGTGGGGGGAGGTGTCGTAGGATGTCCTTGTCAGGGATCGGTTGCTGAAGACTCATCATCAGGTATTCTCTCTTTTCTCTCTCAATGGGTGGAGTTGGTTTTCTCGAGGAAGCTGGACTAACGTCTACCGTCGACTGAACGTCACGACTAAGTGGAGCCAGGGTAAACGTATGGGAGAGAAGGTCTATAGCATGCTGTGGCTCGTACAGGTCAGGTACAAAGCATTGAGCTAGCTGCTCGTGACTGAGGATTTCCTCTGAAATGATGCCATCCCTAATAGACGACACCAGTTCTTGTGCGATTCCCTTCACTTCTCCAGTCCCCACCTCATAGCTAAATTTGACGACGGCATTAATGCAGTCGAGTGGTGTTTGGGGCTTTGTGAAGACAAGGTTGGGGAGGATGTGGCGGAAGTACAGGAGGGAAAACTGGCGATGGAAGAAGATCAAAGCAGCCTCTACATCTTCTGGTTTCATCTTAAGCCTTGAACCAATAGTGATGCACTCGCTGACGCGAAGGATTCCACTATGATTGCGTTGCCTTGCGAACTCCATCAATTCCTGTTCGAAAACGAGAAAGGACGCTGGTGTCTTGACCACCTCTCCTACCGCACTCTTGATTACCACACTGCGGATAAGGTCGAGTCGTTCCCTGTCCTGCTTGGTAGGCTTCTTGAGGTTGAGGACAAATGGAATCTGATCGGCTGAGAAGCAGATGAGCTCTTTCTTGCTGGATGGCAATAGGATAGCCCTCAAAGCCTGGTCAAAGGCTTTAACTCTGGCTGAGAGCCTGAATATTGGCACACAGTCTCTGTGTGTGGCTACTACCAGCAGCCGGAAGCACTGGCCCTCTCTCTTGGAGAACCTCTTGGCTTGCAGGGTGGACGCTAGCTTCTGAATGATCTGCCTGTTGGAGTACTGGAAAGGTGCAACTCGCTTGAGGGCCTTTCCCTCCTTGTGGAAGGTAATGGAGGGATGCTCATCGAGACCAAACATGAGATTTAGGACCAGTATAGCAAGGTGACAGTGGTGGATGAGACTTGGTAAATTCTCCAGTAGCTCCGGCTGGCCTCCGGTGTCAATCATGTGAACCAGCTCGAGGATCTCTGGGTACTTGGCCTTCTCTGAATACTTGATGTGTTTCACCACGGACTGCATTGTGGAGCTCTTGGGCATTTCAGGAGATTCCGTGACAACACTATTTCGATCGGTGGGTAAAACTGTGGAGCTGTTAGTTGCCTCAGGTGATGAGCGTGGTGTGGAATGTGGAGAAAGCGGAGAATTTGCTGAGTCTGAGGATGTGGTTGTGGGTGAGGAAGCACCAGGCTCTACGCTAGACGATGGTAGCTCTACACTAGGCTGTGGTAGCTGGAAGACACACGCTAGAAGCTCGAGGATTTGGTTGTTGGAGAAAGGCTCCCAAGATTCGGAAGACACGTCAATCATGTGGTGGAGCATGCTTCGCAGTGACTGCTCAGCCAGACCAGTACTGTTGTAGAGGCGAGGAGGGAGTTGGTTGAAGAGACGGTTAAGGAGCCATGTTTTACCGGAGCCCATGAGACCAGTGATGATGCCCACAATGTTCCTTATGTTTAGAGACTGTGATTCGAGAGCCTTGTCTATGATCTCCTGGATTTTTTCATCACTAATAAAAGCTGAGAATTAGATAGCAAAGTAGATAAATGTAAATACAACACTACCTTGCCTTAGGGTAAGAGCTGATGTAATGAAAAGCACTAAAGTGCAAACCTTCAGTGTACGGCGCTAATTGTGCTCGACTATGAGTGTGCGTTTTCTTCAGAGGGGGTTGGACATGACATAATCAATCGTAATAACTACATGACTGGAACTTTTCGTCACTCATAAAAGGTGAGAATTACATAACAAAGTAGATAAGAGTATAACTGCAATGACCTTGCCTTAGCGAATGGTAAGAACCGAAGTAATAATAAACAGTAGTGTATTGCATAAAGTTATGTAAGACTGGTCGATAATTGTGACGTCATTTCCATTACTATTTTTGTATCATTGAGTACCTATAAGATCTACGTGCATTCTCTGATTTTCAGTGTACTATCATTCTGCCAATTCTACGACTATTATGAACCTGTAAGATACGACATATTGGCGACGAGGACGGGATGGCAGGTAAACTCGGTCGTGTTGAGGAATTCGACAACAACAACGACGACTGGCCGCAGTATACCGAGCGGCTTGGAAATTTTTTCGTTGCGAACGGCATCGACGCCACGGAGAAGAAGCGGGCTGTTCTGTTGTCCGTTGTTGGCGCCAGTACCTACAAGACCCTGCGGAATCTCGTATCTTCCATGAAGCCTGGCGAAAAGACCTACGACGAGCTATTGCCGCGCTCACCAAACATTACAAGCCCGCGCCATCCGAGATCGTTGAGCGGTTCAAGTTTGATAGTCGCAGCCGCAAACCAGGGGAGTCAGTAGCGACATTCATCGTGGAACTGCGATCTCTGGCCGAATTCTGCAATTTTGGAGATACTCTGGAGGTGATGCTACGCGATCGTATTGTTTGTGGAATCAACGACAACGCAATTCAGAAGAGACTTCTGTCAGAGCCGGGACTCGACTATGCGAAGGCTAGGGAGACTGCTGCGCAGGGCATGAAGCAGCTCAGGAACAAGTCGGACAGGCCCACGAGTCCTTCTACGGTGCACAGGACGAGTGCAAATTCTACAGAACAAGGCGCATCATCTAAACCTACCTGTTACCGTTGCGGAATTCCAGGACACACTGTGTCCAAATGTCGAGTGGACCAGAAGGTGGTGTGTCACAACTGTGACAAGAAAGGCCATCTGAAGCGAGCCTGTAGGAGTAAGAGCAGTACAGCTAAACCTAAGGGGGCAACAGGGAGAACCACGAGACGAAGATCGCAAACAGTCCATCGAGTAGACGAAGATGACTCGGAAAGCGAGGAAGAAGAGGAACAGGAGTCGAAATCTCGAAAGCATCCAATTCAGCATCTCAAGACTTCGAAGCCCTCTCACACCCCACCAATACAAGTACATGTAAAGGTGAGGGTGGATGTTAGCATGGAGGTAGACACAGGTGCCTCAGTGTCTCTAATGTCAGAATGCACCTTTAGAAGGCTGTGGCCACAAAGGGAACTACACCCTTCTAAGGTCCGCCTCCACACCTACTCTAAAGATCCCTTATCAGTGTTGGGTTGTTGCTCTGTCAACATTGGCTATCTGGGTCAGACAGCTAAGATGCCGCTACAGATAGTGGCTGGTTCAGGTCCAACCCTTATGGGTAGAGATTGGTTGAGCTAGATAAGGCTTGACTGGCACAATATCTATCATGTGAGTTAAACCTTCACTTCAAGCTTTGCTTGCTCGCTACCCTGCTGTGTTCAAGGAAGGTCTAGGTACTTTCAAGGGCTTCAAAGCTAAGATCCATGCAGACCCAGCTGCATTGCCTACATTCAATCCTGCTAGATCGGTGCCTTATGCCCTTCGAGACAGGGTTAGATCGGGAGCTTCAGCGTCTCCAGGCTGAGGGGACCTTGGAGCCGGTTGAGTTTGGCGAGTGAGCAGCCCCAATAGTCGCTGTTCTCAAACAAGACAAATCCACGGTTCGTATCTGTGGTGACTGACCGTTAACCCTGTTTCTCGTTTGGACAGGTATCCGATACCTAAAGTCAATGACCTGTTTGCAAAGCTCGGACAGGGAAAGCTTTTCTCAAAACTCGATCTAAGTCACGAGTACCAGCAGTTGCCGCTGGATGAAGAGTCAAAGAAGTATGTTGTGGTTAATACCCACAAGGGGCTTTTCCAATATACACGGTTACCATTTGGCATATCTTCTGCTCGAAAGTTTGTTACAGGGCATTGAGGGGGTCGTAGTGTATCTAGACGACATCCTTGTCACAGGAAGCACTGAGGTGGCGCACCTCAAAGCACTGGATGAGGTGTTAGGCCGTTTGGAGCGAGCAGGCCTAAGAGTAAAGCGAAGAAAGTGTGTTCATGCGACCCTCCGTGACCTACTTGGGCCACATGATCGATGCAGAGGGTCTGCATCCTCTGGACAATCGTTTCCGAGCGATCAGGGATGCTCCGAGACCGAGGTCTGTGACAGGGCTCAAGTCACACTTAGGTATGCTTTCCTACTACAGGAAATTCCTACCAAACCTTTCAACGATGCTACACCCGCTCTATCAACTCCTGAAAAAGGACACAAAGTGGATCTGGGGAGCAGCCCAGGAGGAGGCATTCGAGGCCTCCAAAAAGCTTTCAATATCGTCAAACTGCCTGACTCGTTTCAATTCATCTCTAGACCTCACTCTGGCTTGCGATGCCTCTAATTACGGTCTGGGAGCAGTTCTCTCACACAGAATGCCTGACGGCTCTGAGAGACCAATTGTTTACGCTTCGCGAATGCTCAATGCATCTGAACGTAACTATTCTCAGCTGGAAAAAGAAGGGCTATCTTGCATATTTGCCACTCCACCTCATGCTTCTTCCAAGATAAAACGCTGATCACTGTTCCTATCTAGTTATGAGTACTCCCTCAAGTTAAGAAACACCATTGCTCATGCAAATGCGGATGCTCTAAGTCGGTTACCCCTTCCTGAAGAGCCGGCAACAACGAAGGAGGAACCAGAGCTCGTCCTGCTAGCTGAGCATTTGGCAGACTCACAAGTGACGGCCAGCGACATCCGGAGGTGGACTAGACATGACAAAGAGCTATCCAGAGTTCTTCAGTATGTCCAGCAAGGCTGGCCCTAGGGCTGCGTAGAGTATGCTCGCATTATTTGCAGCATAATTGCGTATTGTGAGAATTAGCATAATTCAAGCATGAATTGGGCTAAAAGCGCCCTTGATTAGTAGGCGCAGCCGAGGGTGTGGCTAGCTAATGGTCCGAGCCACGTGTGCGTGCGCCTAGCTAGAGAACATGGCGAGTACTAGTGCCTCGACTAGCGTCTGTGATGTTTAAGCTGAAATAGACTCCGAAGAAAGCTCCTTTGACAACGACGAGCAAGAAACAACCGAAGAACGAGACACCACGATGACTTCAGAGGCGAGTAGTAGCACGGTTGTTTCTTTGTTGGAGCGGTTGAGAGCGCCTAAGAAATCTGAGTTGACTAGGAAGCGAAAAATATTCGCAAACCCGCCACGAGAACCAGGTATGCGTAAAAAGTGTAATTTACCACTTGTGGAAGCATAATAGAATAAAAAATTGCGCAGTGCTAACAGGCATAATTACAAATATGTTGTGCACATTTTACTCAGGCCTAGCTGGCCCACAGAAGGGGATCCAGACTTGGAACCCTACTCATCTCGAAGACTCGAACTGTTGACGTTCGAGGGCTGCATACTGTGGGGAACACGGGTCGTTATTCCAACCCCAGGAAGAGAGGCAGTCTTGCGAGAATTGCACGAGGGACACCCTGGCATGACCCGGATGAAATTTCTGTCCCGAATGTATGTCTGGTGGCCAGGCATTACCGCAGACATAGAGAAGTCTGTACGTCTCTGTCACCAGTGTCAAGAGATGCAGTCAGCACCACCGGTCGCACCACTGAATCCTTGGAAGTGGCCAACAAGACTGTGGGCTCGATCGACTCCACTTGGACTATGCCGGAGGGAAAGAATATCTTGATAGTGATAGATGCCCACTCCAAGTGGATTGAAGCCATTTGTACTCCCTCAACTGCATCCTCACACGTCATTGAGGTCTTACGAACACTCTTCGCGAGATTTGGCCTGCCCGAGACCATTGTTTCTGATAATGGGACTGGCTTTGTGAGCCAAGAATTCGAGAAATTCTTGAGGAAGAATGGGGTAAATCACACCACATCTGCTCCTTACCACCCCGCTTCAAATGGCCTTGCTGAGAGGGCAGTTCAAATTGTGAAGAAAAGCCTAAAAAAGGAAACATCAGGTACCATGTCTACGAGGCTTGAAAAAGTCTTGTGTAGTTACAGGATCACTCCACAGAGCACCACTGGTACCTCGCCTGCTGAGCTGCTATTGGGGAGGATACCTGTAGAACATGATTAGACCACCTCACACCTAATACGGCAGAAAGGGTTGAGAAAAAGCAGCTAGAACAAAAGGCAAAGCATGATCGCAAAGCTAGATCTCGAACATTTAATGTTGGAGACCATGTGTTCGTAAAAAACTTTGGTTGTGGTAGTAGATGGCTGCCAGGAAAGATCGTTCAAGTGTCTGGTTCGGTTTCATTCCATGTGGAACTAGAGGATGGTAGACATAGAAAATACAACCAAGACCACTTGAGACACAGAGTGGTGGATGATGGGGGTCCATAAATGTCACAAGTGGCCCAAGATGACAGTTTGGAGGTTGGTCCGTCAAAAACTGAGTACCCACCTTCTCAAGGAGGTGGTACAGCAGCTTCACCTGAACATTCGAACAATCCGACCGAATCGATCGAATCGACATCACGATCATCTTCAGCCGTTTACAATACTCCACCCGAGACAACCACATGTCGATATCCACTTCGCAACAGGAGAGCAACAGAAAGGTTCGAAGCTGGTTTTGACTGAATTTTATTGCGCATGACTACTTTGATTATGCGCGCATATTGTGCATGTATGTTATGCATGTTTGTTTGCATTTCTTGTGTAGTATGTTAATTGATACGTATGTTGTTTTTCTTATTTTTATGTTCTCTCTAAGAAGGGAGGAATGTAGTGTATTGCATAAATTTATGTAAGACTGGTCGATAATTGTGACGTCATTTCCATTACTATTTTTGTGTCAGTGAGTACCTATAAGATCTACGTGCATTCTCTGATTTTCAGTGTACTATCATTCTGCCAATTCTATGACTATTATGAACCCGTAAGATACGACTTAAACATGTGTCATAGATTACAGTGCAGATCTGCTATTTCAAGTCTGAGGAACAGGAGATTATTTTTGTGTCCGTGCACTTTTAAGTGAACTTCCTTCGGAAACAATTCCATATTCTGACCTCGTCGTCCAGTCTGAATTAATTCATTAAAAGTTCCTTATGCTCAATTCATACTGAACATTATGCTGGCATGTTTTAACGCTTAGCTATCACTATCATGTGTATATACCATGCATGCTATGATGAACAACACACTAGAGGTACATACATATGCGGAGTGACACTGGGCGAAGCTAGAACAAGACAAAACACTGGGTGGAGCTAGAACAAGACAGAACACTGGGCGGAGCTAGAACAAGACAGAACACTGGGCAGAACTAGAACAAGACAGAACACTGGACGTAGCTACATATCCTTGTCAGTGTGGATTGACTTCAGTGCAAAGGACAAATAAAACAAACCCCACTATATAATGTCAAATACCTCTGTAGCTGAGGTGAGGAAAGAGAATTTGCCGCACCAGAATCTCAAAGGCCTGGATAACAGAATTTACACAACAAAGTTATAGACTAACACTTCTGTGCCACAAATAATTGTGCTTGAGAATCATAGCTCTGTTAGCACAGCGTTTATCAGGCACATAACTGGTAAACTAAACTGGTTTACAGCTGAATTCAGAGCGTGAAAAGTCAACAATACCAGAATGAAAAGCACAAAAGTGCAAACCCTCGGTGAACTGCGCATGCGCGGTACCACTAATTGATGGGCTGGGCCTATTATACTACTATACGTTTACTCGTGATCTCCCGCTAGTAGCTCGCGGAGCGTCTGACACGGGTTAGCTACAGTTGGTAGATAGCATGCGGGAGTCGATACACGCCCTTCGTTGTGGCTTCTTTGTGCCTCCGAGCAAGAGGATAAGGTCGAGGTAAGCCAGTGCTAATTAGCAATTGGCTTGTTCACTTGGTTTTCATGCCCTAACTTCTGAACGCACTTTTACGAAAATCGCCTATTTAAAAATAAAGCCAGTGTAGCGCTAAACCCGCTGGTGTCGCTATTTAACCTGTTTGTTGCACGTGGTGGCAGAAATCGTGGTAACATACGGACAGACGGACAGAACGACTACTGTAACCCTCGCTGCGCATGCACAGTGTGCCACTCTATCATACTTGCAATGTATGAGGTAGTTTACGAGTACAGCTGTCTGGGGTTCCATCTTGACAACAATAGCAAAACTAGTACTCCCCAGGGAAGAATGAGTCTCTTCTAGCTACATAGCTAAAGGCAACAAGTATGATGTTGCCTTGGGCTTTCTCTTGTAACCACATGGACCGTATTTAATGTAAAACCCTCGGGCATCATGTCACAATTGAGACAACATGTCTCAAGTAACACTTGGGACCAGGAAACAAATAATACTTATTAACACACCATGACCTTGTAAAGTTAGATTCAAAGTGTGGAAACTGGGCTTTTGGTGAGTTGGTGTGAGAATTTAATTGTCTCATCTCAGCATAGCAGCAATAACCGTTGCTTAGAGCACAAGTGGCTCTCTTCTCTACAGCATGTATTGCTTGGAAATTAATGCTGTTGTTAAAAACCTTGGAGAAATGAATAGTAAAACAATAAGGATGGTATTTATGACAAGTAAACAAATAAAAAATTCTGCGAATTAAAAAAGTGTGGAATATAGGGATGCCATAAAAAGCAAGGAGACAAGACACCTAATGCATGTGATGCAGCAGTACAATGGATGTTGGTTACATCTTCAAACTGACATTTCTTGCTCGTGTAAATTTTATTCCATACATTGTCGCCACCCTTACTCTTGACATGAGTTTTGAATAGTGTAGTGTGAAGACTGGCAAACAAATTCTGTAGAGAAAGCAGCATCGTATAACTCGTTAGTTGAGCGAACATTGAAGAAAAACAGTCACGATTCAAAACTGAGGACCTGTCAGAGAGGGCATTTGCTACCAGTCTTAAGTGCATAGGAAACGAGTCATAGCTCCACATAATACGATAGAGATCACTCGTGCTTTGCGACAATATAGGGCTTGTGTGGAATAAAAATTTAACTACATCACAGGCACTATGTCATCCCTGTCTTTATTCAACACTTGTTTAATTCGCAGAATTTGTTATATATTTCTCTCCTTTCCTTTTTTTACGGCATGCACATGCATAAAGCCCATAACATGTATTTATTGCCAAGACCCTTTGTCATCATCTCTATACATGTTAAATTCGCAACCAAAGTAGATAAGTATACAAAATTTCATTGTTAGAGGACCCAGCATAAGCAAGTCATAGGAAAATAGCACTTAATTGCCTGAGGCTGTTTGTTGTTGTTTACCAACTTGTAATTTATCTTTCAATGATCATAGTAAATGAGTTTACCAAGTTTCATTGTTAAAGGACGCACAATAAGCAAGTTATAGGCACAAACATCATTATATTGCCTGAGGCTCTTTGTTATTGTTTTTAACTTGTAATTTCTGTTTCGATGAACTCTCATCATGGTACATCAGTGTACCAAGTTTAATTTTTAGAGGACCAACCATAAGCAAGTTAGATGCACAAACACCATTTACAAGTTGTTATTGCCTGAGGCTGTTTGTTGTTGTGTACAAAGGTACAAACTTGTAATTTCAGTTTCGATGAACTCTCATCATGGTACATAAACATCAGTGCACCAAGTTTAATTGTTAGAGGACCCACCATAAGCACATTACAGGCACAAACACATTTTACAAGTTTTTATTGCCTGAGGCTATTTGTTGTTGTTTACAAACTTGTAATGTTCATATTTTGATCACTAAGTACGGTAGTACTTAGTATATAGGGATTGACATGGTACCTAGCATCATAGATGTATGGGGCTATGATAGGGAGTTTTGTTCATCTTCTTCTTCTTCTTCTTCAGATTCAACACCCATAACTCAAAAATGAAACAACATAGAGTAATGAAATTTTGTAAGAATGTAGATATCCATCACCCGAAGAGACTGGTCATACTTATTTCTTTGTAAACAACATTGTTTACTGTAAACAACAACAAATAGCCCCAGGCAATACATTATAAAGGGATCACATGTGTCAGTATAACTCACAAATGGTAAGAGCTATGTGAACGAAACTTTGTAGACATAATGTATTCAATTACCAACATCAAAATCACAACAATACATGTTTGTAAACAACAACAACTAGCCTCAGGCACTTTTCTTTAAATTTACTTCTTCACTCCTCAAACTTTCCAACGGTAGCACGCATAGAGATGAAACTTGGTATGTATGCCTATTATATCATTCCCATGACAATTACATGTTTCCATGACGACTGCATTTTGTTTGAAAAAGCCTCAGGCAATTTTCTTTAAAACCACTTCTTCACTCCTCAAACTTGCTAACTGTAGCACGCATGGAGGTGAAACTTGGTGCGCATGTGTATTACATCGTTTCCATGACGACCACAACAACAAATAGCCTCAGGCACTTTTCTTTAAAATTACTTCTTCACTCCTCAAACTTGCTAACTGTAGCACGCATGGAGGTGAAACTTGGTGCGCATGTGTATTACATCGTTTCCATGACGACCACAACAACAAATAGCCTCAGGCACTTTTCTTTAAAATTACTTCTTCACTCCTCAAACTTTCTAACTGTAGCACGCATGGAGGTGAAAGTTGGTGCGCATGTGTGTTACATCGTTTCCATGACGACCACAACAACAAATAGCCTTAGGAACTTTTCTTTAAAATTACTTCTTCACTCCTCAAACTTGCTAACGGCAGCACACATGGAGATGAAACATGGTATATATGCATATTATTTCCGTGACGACAACAGGCATTTTTTCTCTATTAAAATATTTATAGGGGCTTGCCCCCTTCCACAGAGATAATACATAGTAGTATATAAAAATGAGTGCAGACAAGTAAAAAAAAAATCCTGCGAATTTAAAAAAAGAGGCATATAGGGATTGTATAAAAAGAAAGGGAGACAAGATAGGGATGGCATATATAAGTCATAGCTTCCATACATGTACATTGTGACGCATAGGGACACTCCCCGAGCCCACGAGACAATCCCTAATTGTTGCCTAGGTGAAGTATATGCCTAACGAGCTCACACTATAAGCACAACCATACTCAGTGATACACATTGGAACTTGCATTCCACTACTGCACGAGAATATAGTCAACCTGGAGTGCTGCTGCTGCCCTCTTTGACAGGGATGGCCAAATGTGGCCCCGGGGCCACTAGCGGCCCCTGCGATGTAGTTAGCGGCCCCTGGGCATCTGTCGTATGTGCAATTTTATTCGTGCGCAGTGGGGTCGCCGGTTGCCGGCGCAGCGGCGGCGCTACACCCGCGCGGCCACACGCGACGCACGCACGGGCAAGCGCAACACACGTGCGTGAAGATCGGAGTGCGTGTGCGTGCGTGCGTGTCAAGAGTGTGTTATTGGCCCCTGGTGTGTAGTTTGTCTTAAATTATTGGCCCCTACCAGCTTCAATCTTGGACATCCCTGCATGCGTGAGAATCACTTCCTGTCTTTATAAATCTGTGTGCACACTTTTAATCATTCAATCATGTCTATAATCTCAACACAAAATGCAAACCCGCCTGAAAGAACAACTTACAGCTACTTTTACAGATGTATATCATACACACCAGGCAACAATATAGGGATTGTCTCGTGGGCTCGGGGAGTGTCCCTATGCGTCACAATGTACATGTATGGAAGCTATGACTTATATATGCCATCCCTATCTTGTCTCCCTTTCTTTTTATACAATTCCTATATGCCTCTTTTTTAAAATTCGCAGCATTTTTTATTTACTTGTACTAATGATAGGTTGCATGTGTGTACAAAGTTTTATCACTCTGGGTGTTTCCTCTACCTAGTATATAGCACACTTTATTGGTCTATATAAGTAAGTTATTGTGACTTGCGTGGACGGATCAAAGGAGCCACGCAAACTTTTATTTCCCGTATTGTAGTATGCGTTCAATATGACTAATATTTACAAAAATTATTGAACTAGCATCAGCATAGTACACATAGTGTAGACAAACACTGTTCTGTAGAGGCTGTAGAAGCGAGGGATGGCCGAGGCTAGGGCTAAGGCTAGGGCTTATGGTTGGTCCCCTTCATTCAGCTATCTCTTCTACACTCTTGCTCTCTGCGGCAAGCGAAACCGGTTAAACGGTCCAGCGTCCTATAAAACGAGGGAGAAAAAGCCACCATCACGACCTTGTTCGATTGCGGTAGTCTTGAGAACAGAAAACTCGCTCAAGAACCTAGCGAGTGCGCATGTGCGCATGAAATTTAGTTCATAGCATACCAGCCATAGGTATATAGATAGATAGATAGATAGAGAAACAAATAAAAACCACCACCAATATATCCACAAATCCCAAAACATCCATAAAAAACACATACACAAATACACATGACATGACATGAGAGCAGGACACTGGGTGCCCAGCCTTGAGAACTGGGGCGGTGGGTTAAAGAGTCATTTATGGCTAGCCAACTCTCCCCACACACCCAGTATCCAAACTCCACATCACAAACAATGACAGCCACACAGGGAGTAACTGTACCATAGCACAGTCATGACAACACATGTAGAGTATGATACATATAAAGATATATATAGATGGTAGAAAAATGAGCATGATAAAAAAATAGAATCTAGCTTACTTACTGGAGTGGTAAAAACAAGACTCACTTGTAGCAGTAAATTCATGGTAGAAAAATATAGAATGACTTACTTGTAGCGGTAAAAACGTGGTAGAAAAATAGAATCTTGACTTACTTACGCAGAAAAAACGTGGTGCGCTATCGCGGTTCCTATTAGTGCCACCCCAAGTAGTGTACAGAGTAAATTATGCAGTAGTCAATGTGAAGCTTATGTCTGATAACTGTTTGTGTAGCTACCAATCCCACGAGATCTTCTGTGTTGAGACATGGCGGCCCAGGAATCCATCACTGGCTGGCAAACATACACCGTCCTAAATAATTGTCTTCGTACACTGCGGTTGCCAAATGACTTTTTGCAAACCTTATAAACACTTTACATAGCTCCGCATATCTAAATCCTTTTTTTTTTGGGAGTTTGTAATGTCACTCACAAAATTGCTCGTAACCACTGCATATTCTACCTATACGTACAAGTTGGGAAACATATACATGGGAAGTATGCTACGCTGTCGCATTTCTCTCACTGGAGGTCGACGACTGCTATAAAAGACAATAAAACACAAAATGTGCATCCTATCGTTATATACATGACTTACGGGAACTCGGGTTGTGGTCTCGAGACCCCTTGTTCCCATAAATAATTCTAAACACACATTATCTCTTACGTATGGCCTGGGGCTATTTTTTGGTGTTTTCTGTTGTTTGAAAAAGCTCTTGCATGCAGTGTCACGTATTTCAATCTTTGTGCAAAGTTAAATCTCCACATCTTAAGTGGTTTTTGAGATATGCGTGTCTAAACTGAACAATAAAAAATTTGTAAAACGACTTTTTTGAAAAAAATCAAGTACCGATTATGTGATTTAATCCATTTCTTGGGCTCTTTGCGAGGATACGGATCAGTGTCAAAGGGAGTGAAACATGAAAATCTCAAATGTGTATTAGTTAATTTTAACGTACAGGCGGCGAGGTGGTACAAGATATAATCCGAAGCTGTTGACTGTTAACAGCCCAGGAGCATATCCTGTACGTGCCGAGGCGCCTGACGTTAACTGATTTGTAGCCAATCACAATGCTGCATTTTCAGCTGCGTCATCCTAATGGATTGTTGTGCAAACTTTGGAAGCCAGACAATTTGCACTATTCCTACCGCTAGATGTTGTGATAAGGACTTCCTGTCCAATTCTGATATTGGTCAGTCACAGCTCAGAATACAGCGTATATTCCAAGCGCCGGATTGTTTGAAGTTGGACTACAAATGGGCATAATGCAGGACGACCTGTGTCTTCCCTATAATTATACTAAGTACTACCGTACTTACAGTGACAAGACAGGGGTTGCAATCAACATGCAAGAGGGGTCGATTTCGATGTAAGCATTCTCCCACTAAATGCCTGGTTTCCATGCATTTCTCAGGAGTGTTAATAGGTACTCAATGTGTGTGCAATGTCTGGAAAAGGGTTAGGGACTAAAACATTTGTTTTAAACAGCAAGATAAATTACCTCCTTAATATTGTGGTTGGTCTTGCAACTAGTCTCCAAGAAAGGAATTTCGAGGGCGGCTGCATATTCTTCACCCCGTGCCCTGGAGACAACTCTCTCGGACTCCAGTTCACACTTGTTGCCAATCAACACTTTCTTCACGTCACCAGGTGCATCCTGTGTTGGTATATACATAACTTGTATGCACCTCAGCATGAAACACGTTGCCATTCAACCATATGCAGTGCACTACCACCTACACCACCACTTCTACAGCATGGCATAAGTAGGCAAAAGATGCCTTTATTCAACGAACATGAACCCCTCTACGGAAACCTAAGTAGCCCACATATGATCGCACAGTTGCTTGCACTGTTTTCCTGCACAATGCACCTACTATTAGAGTAGGCATATTATATTATAATTATACATTGACATCTATGCATAATGGTGAGCAAAGTATCACTAAGTACGGTAGTACTTACTATATTATAGGGATGGACATGGTACCTACAGTATGAGTCAAAAAAGTAAACGAAAGTAACGTTACTTCGAAGTAAGGTTACCGTAAAGTTACGTTACTTGTAAGTAACTCAAAGGGATAACGGCAGGAACGCGCGCGGACTTCGGGCATGCGCTTAAATTGATTGACCACACCCTCTAATTACATCCCCACTAAGCGCATACGCTTTCTAGTCACCGGCACTGAAATACCGTTACAGAGTCGCGCTAGAGCCACCGCTAGGTATATAGTGTAGAGAACGGACCCAGCGCGCAACGACTTCCGGAAGCCGCACAAGTGACCGCGCCCCCACGCACAAGTCACGTGCCATAGGCCACGCCCCCTAGAACTACCGAGCGTGCAGAAGAACCAATCCTTCATTTTCAGCGCGAAGAACGACAGGAAGGGACGTTGGGAAAGTGTATATACACATCTACTAGCTATTGTGGCAGCGAGAAGGGATTGTCGGATAGGTAACGCCCCCTAAAACATTCCTCAAGCACGAAATAACTGCTAACTGAAACTTGCAAATGCACAGCCTACATTTTGTGGAATGGGGAGCTGAGCGGCACCAGAATAGACACTTTACGGTAGTTTGGCAGCATCCTCACCCTTTCACGCACTCTGCTGATCAGCAGATCACCAACATTAAAATCATAACAGTAGATGTTTGTAAACAATATCAAATAGCCTCAGGCACTTATCCTTAAATTTACTTCTTCACTCCTCAAACTTTTCAACGGTAGCACACAGAGATGAAACTAGGTATGTATGCCAATTTTATCATTTCCATGACGATTGCATGTTTCCATGACAACTGCCTTTTGCTAACACCGAAGCAAAAAAGACAAAAGGAAAGGGATAGCTACAATGCTAACCCCGAAGCAAAAAAAAACAAAAGGAAAGGGATAGCTACAATGCTAACCCCGAAGCAAAAAAAACAAAAGGAAAGGGATAGCTACAATGCTAACCCCGAAGCAAAAAAAACTAAAGGAAAGGGATAGCTACAACGCTAACTCTAAGGGCAAGGAAAAGAATGCAAGAGAAAATTACGAGAAAAACAAGGAGCAGCGAAAGAGCACAATGCAAAAATACTACCGAGAAAAACGCTCCCGTTTGCTCTTTAACAAATTGGTTGCATACTATAATACATCTGGCCTGTCTAAAAGAGCAGCAAGACTGGTGCTACATGCTAGGAAGTATATACATGAGAGAGAGGTCATAGTAATTGGCAGCTGTAGCTACTCGTTACATGAGCCTAAGCAGCATACCAGAGAGCTCTGTACGAAAATTATATTCCCAAAAAGCTTACGAAAGAGCTTATCTGTGTTTTTGAAGCCACCAGCACAGAGGTACTATCAAGGCCAAAGCTAGTAAGCTGGAGAATACTGTTCACAACATTGCTGTATGAAAAGTACTGAGCAAAGGGTTGAAAACAAGAAAAGAGAGTGTTGGTAACTTTCTGGCATGTGTAAGGAAGGTTACCGATCTCACAATCGCGATCGATGATTTTGGGAATTGTTGCCACACATCATCAGAGCCGTACTTTTATGACCAGAGTTATGCCAATGGCAAAACTCGGAGATTACGCATTCCTGTTGATGAACAAGGAAGGCATGTTGTTGAACGAGAGATTTGGGTTTGGGAACCTCGAAACAATCCAATTCCTGTGGACAAGCAAGGAAGGTGTGCTCTTGCACAGGAAATTGGGGGAAGAGATCCCAAACCCAACAGCCGTTAAAATTGAAGTGCACTCAGAGTGCAAACTTCCAACAGCAGACAAAAAACAGCGCATTGTTGACCTGAAAACAATGTTTGAATCAGTGCGCACACTACGTCAAGGTCTAGAAGCTGTAGACAGTGACTGTCAGAATGGTCACTACACGTGTAAAGCTACTGGCCGTGATCTGGCCGGTCATCCGTTGACGTGTACTGTTGCTGGCTGCGACAGTAAGTTGAGGACATAGAGGAAAAAAACTAGCAGACAATCCAGAATTGACTGCTGCAGCTGTACTCAAGGCATACATGTCCATGTTGAATTCCGAAACCACGAACAAGACACTCTATGTGTGTCAGTACTGCCGGCCCATTCTGAACCAGGACAAACTGCCGTCCTGAAGTTCCAAAAGAACTGGAAAATTTGGATCCATTGAGTAAGCAGCTGATTCAAAGAGCGAAAGTGTTTCAGGCCGTTAAAAGAATGGGAACATACTCAGGAAAAGTCCTAAGCCTGAAAGCTTGCAAGGGCACAATGTTCTTTTTGCCTCTCCCACTCGGTGAAGACGTTGGAAGAGGTAAACAACAAAGTTGACGGAGCAGTCACTGGGCTGCCAAACCTGGAGCTGTACATCATCGTCAACTCGAAGTCCACGACCAACAAAGTAGTTTGGCAGAGCCTCATCGATATCTGTGCACGCAGAGATGCTCTCAGGAAACTGAAATACATCAACTGGGTATATGGAGATATCGACGAAGCCAGCCTAGATGATGCAGCATGTCGTGTCATTGAATATGTCAGTGAGACTAGCAGTACGATGCTGCAAAAGGTGAGTGACGAAGATGTTAGCTCTTATCAGTCGTACACCATCAGACAACTGGACCAGAAGGAGCCAAATGCTCCCGATACTGACCAGTATATACAAGCTCAGCAATGTCAAAGAGGATGCTCTGAGCAACAAATTGCAGCATTTGGATGTTATGTGATTTTCCACTATATTTCCGAGTGAGAGGTTTGGAGAAGGACACCAGCGTGAAATTAACCTGTCTTCTAGCAAATACGTGAAATCACGTCTCCTTCACAAACACAGTCGTTTTCGCAAGGACGACCAGTACGTGTTTTATCTGCTCTGGCAGAAGGAGATGGGACAACTGGCAGCTGGTGTGTGCAGTCAATACTGTGTGCCGTCACTGCTCCCACTGGACTGGCAGCATTCAACATCGGTGGAGTCACCATCTACCGATTGCTGCAGCTGCCCATTGAGCACGAGGGCAGAGGAGCTGGCTACTGGAAGCTAGCGAAAGACGCACTGGAGATCATGTGTGCGTCTCTGTCCAAGCTCAAACTGCTCATCAGAGACGAAGTGTCAATGGTGTCCAGTTTGAATCTCGCGTACATTCACCTCCGTCTCGATGAGATCTTTGCCCGAGACGAGTGGTTTGGCGTGGTGAACGTTCTGTTTGTGGGAGACATCCTGCAACTCCCACCAGTGAATGGAGCAGCTGTGTTTGAAAAGATCGACAACAGATCCGTAACAACCAAGCTCGGTAGCATGACGTCAGTCAACATCAGGCAACAGAACGTGGTCTACGACGAGTTGACCATCAACGAACGCCAGAAAAATGACCAGGCATTCAGCTCCATGTTGGACAAAGTGCGATGGGGGTGCCCGTCACAAAGCACTCCCCAGGCTCTCAAGGAGAGGGTAATCACTACACCGGTTGAAGAGCTGTTGTCTACAGACAAGTCTCCACTGTGCCTCTTTCCAACACGTGAGGCATGTCAAAAGTTCAACTCAGACATGCTGTCGCTGGGTTCCGAAACAAAAGAGATTGATGAGGTTGACGTAAAAAATGAACAGTGACTGTAACCTGACAGCTGGCCTGGAGGCAGTGATGCAGGTGGCTGAATGGGCACGGGTCATGCTGCGTAGGAAGATCGACGTCAGCAGTGGCCTCGTGAATGGAGCAGTGGGTACAGTAATTGCAATCAAATCCCACCACATCACAGTTCAGTTTGACGGGAGGCCACAGCCTCATGACGCCAAGAGGGTAAAGAGCAAGTTTATGCCCATGAAGAGAGTTTATGTGTATCATTTGCTGTCACTGTGCACAAGTGCCTGGGTCTGTCGTTGGACTGTGCAATCATGGACCTGTCGGAGCAGGTTTTTGTCCTGGTAGGCATACCTGACACTGTCACATGCGAAGCAGCTGGAGAACCTGCATCTGATCACATTCAAAGACGAAGCAATCAATGTCAGTGCCAAGTGTCTGCAAGAAATCAATCGATTGAGACAGGCATTCCATCCCGATCTGCTTCAGTATACTTCAGTATACTGTTCCACGGCAGTGTAAAACGCAGACCAAAAAGCGAAAACTGATGGGTACTCTGAAAACTAAAGCTCCCAGTGCAAAGTGTAGCACAAAATGCTCAGCTGGGAGTGATGCACCTCCAGCAGCAGTGGCAATCCTTCCGAAGTCGCATCCGATTGCCCCAGACCATTCCTATCCAGCGGAACACCCCGCAGGGGCAAAGGAGAAACGGCCTGCCCCCTACCTTCGTCAACGGCCGGTCTGCTTCTCATGGAATGCAGGGAAGTGCTCTTTTGCTCACATATGTTCGAACTGCTATGGTCCCAACCCAGCTTAAACCAGGAAACACCGGCGATCATCTCCTCCCCCTGTGAAGCGGGGCTCAACAGGATGCCAAGAGTAGTAGACGTGTGGCTCAACTTAGCGCTACTAGCTTATTTGGCTGTTTCATGTGGTGTTACTCGTTATAAGTGGTGCTGGGTCCGCGAGTCATGGGCGGTGTCAATGGCGGTAGTGACGCCGGCGTTGCAAACGACGGTGGCTGGTTATCCCACTATAATGAGGGGATTGTCTCTCCCCTCCCCTCCCTCGCAGATCCACTTATGTTGACATGGGCAAACTTCTCGGACGGGGGCTATAGCAGATCTGTAGGTGCTGGAAATGGCCTCCCCAACAATTCCGGTTGTGCCATACGATGCATCAGTGATAACCCCCCTTTGGCTGGAGGCTTGGGGAAAATGCCTACAATCAATGCCAGACCAGGTCTTTGCCAGTTCCTTCTCCACGGCATCAGAGGGGGCGTTCATATTGGAGTACGGCCAGGGGTGCAGTTCCAGCCTGCAAAGCGCAACTTAAGATCAGCTGCAGAACACCCACAAGTCATCACAGACTACCTACGACGGCAAGTCGAGCTGGGTCGGATGCAGAGGGTTCTGACTGAGTTACAGCTGCCCCCCTTGCAGAGTGATCCCAAAAAAA